AAAAAAAAAAAAAAAAAAAAAAAAAAAGAAAGAAAGAAAACTTCACAGCCTTCCAGTTAAGCAAGAAATCAATTTTTTCTGAAAATGTTCTAAGTCTAGATTTCCACAAGTGAGTTTTCAGTCTATGAAACCACTGCCTGTTGTGCTTATTTAATGGATGCAGTTCAATGGTAGAGAGCTTGCTAGCATATCAGAGACCCTGGGTTGTATCCCTAGCAATCCCCCCACACACAAACAAAGGATTTCTTATTTATATTTCTATTTTATAATTATTATCTAAATAGATCAAAAGATAATTCAAAGTGTTACAATGAGCTACCATGCTTATTTAAAATTCCAAATTATATACTTACTTTTTTAGTTCAGGAATCTCTGCTGGCTTTACGATTTTTATTAACCCCTTAAGTCTCTGTAGTTCTTTCCTTAGTTCGAAAGTTCTCAGGTGAAGTTTCTTCCGGGATACACCATCTAAAGCATTCCCCGATTTAATTTCTGACATGAACACATCTAATGAATCCTGAGAGGCTGACTCTGAGAGAGCTGTCCAAGAAAGGGATAATATATATTCAGAAAGATGGCCCCTAATATTTTAAATTCAGCAAAGCTTCCATAGAAAAGTCACTAACCTAAAGCTAGAAAAAGACTATCACTGTTATTAGGAATATGGAAATCAGTTATAACTGTGAGACATTGGGAAATGATTTTTATGTCAATGGACTTCCCACCCTGCAACTACTAAATAAAAAACAGGTTAAACCAAATGATTACAATGTTCTTTCTAGGTTTTAAATTGTATTCACTAGAAAAGAGTCTATATTGTTTATCTTATTAACCAATGCAGCCCCAGTACCTAGTATAATGCACTATATAAGGTAGGTGCTCATAAATATTTGATAATATCATTACCTTTGCTTGAAGCCTTGAGCCTCTCAGAAATTTCAGAAAGTTCCTTTTCAGCATCATTTAACTTTGCAACCTGTACACCCAAATTAACAATTAACAAATATTTTCCTTCTTTCAGATGCTGTTTATCACCCTCTTATTTTCATAATTGTTATTACAAGTTTTAAGAGCATTACCTCCTAAATCCAGCTAAAGCTGCTCCCTAAGTTAAATTTTCCATTTGTTTATTTAATCCTAGTTGAATTAATTTATGAATTAAAGAACTCAGAATTAAATGGAATGAAAAAAATAAAAGGGAATATGTAATTCAGACTTTACTCAAATGAAAGCACTCAGGCATTTATTTCCATTGGTGAATCAAAAGGATAAATGCTGGGTAATGTTTTCATCTCTAAATGTTCCTGAATAATGTGTTAAGTGAATGCTACTGTAAGGTAAGGACTGCTGTTCCAGACTAATAGTACCACACTACACTCTTCCAAAGCCCTTTGATTCCTCTTACTATTTCATTCATTTCAGAAGCCCTAATTTGGATCTTTTTCTTTTCTCCTTTGGGAGTGATGGCATATCTTAAAAATGTTCATTAATCATTAATATCAACCTGAAGGAAAGTCTCTAGCAGCAAGCTAAAATTTTTTCCAACAACCTGGATAAGTCTAGTTGTTTGTTACTATTAAATTTACAGATCACAAAAGTTATACTTTGATACCAGATTTAGACACTACTACTTTAAAATTATAATTATAAAAGATTCAAATAATGCATTATTTTATTTTTAAAAAATAAACTACCACAGATACTTCTATAAATAAAACTTGCCAGTGATTCAAAGGTCTCTGGCTTCTCATCAATCTTCCCAGCCTTCTTCATTCGGTTCAGACGCTTCTTCTCAATCAGGCCAGTGCGATCAAGGAATGTATCATCATCACTATCATAAAAATCTTCATCTTCCCAGTTCTTGGCTTTCCTTTTCCGAGATACTAGAGGAGAATAAAATGATTGAAAGTGCAGTAAGTTTTAAAAAGAAAAAGGGCAAGCACAACTAGGCAGGCAGATTAAAGACAGGATTCTACAAGCTGCCAAGCCACATAAAAAACAAAGGGCAAGCTGGGCATGGTGGCACACCCTTGGACATTGAGGCAGGAAGATCACAAGTTTGAGTCCAGCCATGATATCTTAGCCACTTAACAAGACCCTGTCTCAAAATTTAAAAAGAAGGGAGAAACAGAGGAGAGAGATGAAAGAAAAGAAGGGAGACAGAAGGAGGAAGAAAGGAGAAAGGAAAGAAGGAAGAAAAGAGCTGGGGATGCGGCTCAGTAGAAAGGCCCTGGGTTCAATTCTCAGTACTGAGAAAAACCAAACCAAACCAAACCAACAAACCAACCAACAAACAAAAAAATCAAAGGGCTAACCTCTGAAGACTTTATGCTAAGTGAAATAAGCCAGAAACAAAAGGACCCTCATTACATGATTGCACTTATACGCAGTATCTAAACCAGTCAAATTCACAGAGATGGGAACAGCAGCAATGTAGTTCCCAGAGGGGTTGGGGAAGAGGAAGGACAGAGTCAGTGTTGACTGGGCCCAACTACAGTACAGAATAATAAAAAGTCTGAGATGGACAGTGGTTGATCGTTGCACAACAAAGTGAACACAATTAACACCATTGAATTATACACTTAAAATGGTACGTTTTATGTGTATTCTGCAATGAAATAATAAAACAAAAACCTAGTTTACTGAGCAAAAGGCTCTTAGAAATCAGTAAGCTAAAAAAAAGACAAATCAAAAAAAGAGCACTAAAAGGGATAAACCAAGAAATACCAGAATTAAGAAAAAGAAAAGCCAACTCTAGAAAAAGCCAAGGGAATCTTCAGGGATGACAGCAAAGTCAAATGCAAGATAAACATTCTGCAGATCTGGAGAGCAATAAGCCCTACAAGGAGAGTAGTATTCTTTAGAAGGAATGTCTCCCCAGAAAATCACAACTCAGACATTAATGTGACTGAACAATGTGGAAAAAACATACTGAAAGGCTACTGGAAGATACGGAAGGATGAGCAAGAGGTACACAAAAGAGAAACACATGAAAGAAAAATACAATTATTACCTTTAGGGAAAATAAAAATAAAACTGGTTTGCTGTAACTAATATTTGCATAAGCATATAAATACTAAATATTAATTTATCAGAGTCAACAAGTATCTAAAATAAATAACTTAAAATGTAACATCATATTTTTGTTTCTTGGAAATATGGATTTTTGTGGGGGACCCGAAATTGAATTCAGGACCTCGCACTTGCCAGGCAGGCACTGCACCACTGAGCTAAATTCTGGCCCCTAGATCCCTAGATATTTTTCAGTGCCAGAAAAAATAACTGAAAAGGTGAAAGATTGTAGATACGACTACTAAGAATAGATAGGGAAGGAGCCGTATACTTTAACCTTTCTAGTAGTTGAAAGCCAGATATAAGTAACTTGGCAACAATAAAAATTAATTTTAGAATACTTAAAAGTATAATATAGGCCTATTAAAATAAATGATGGTATAGCCAATCTTTTTTCTCTTTAATGAGATAAATCAAATGTATTTATATGGACAAAAATCTATGAACATTCTTATGTTACAAAAGTGAGTCACAACCTGTAATCCCCGCACTCTGGGAAGCTGAGGCAGGAGAACGATAAGTTAGAGCCACACCTGGGCAATTTAGCAACATAGGGAGACATTGTCTTCAAATTTTTAAAAATGGGCAGGAGATCTAAATGAGCGCGAAGGCCATGAGTTCAATTCCTAGTACTGCCAAAAAGAAAGTCACAAAAAAAGTGTAAATAATAAGACTCCATTTATACATGAGTATGTGTTTTTTGTTAAAGAATCTAGTTCTTTTTTGGCTGGGGGGGAGGGGTTTGGTTTATTTGTTTTGTCTTTTGAAACAGGGTCTTGCTATATAGTTCAGTCTGGCCTTCAACCTACTATGTAGCCCAGGATGGCCTCAAACCTGCAGAGGGGTCCTCCTGCCTCTCAGCCTCCTGAGTGCTGGGATTATAGGCATGCACCACCATGCCCAGCCTAAAGGATCTAGTTCTAAACTTTTTCTTTTTGCAGTGCTGGAGATTAAACCCAGAGATGTGTACATGCCAGGCAAGCACTCTACCACTGAGCTATATCCTCAGCCCCAGAATCTAGTTCTTCTCAACATACATTCACATATGCATAGAAAATGTCTGGGAGAATATGAACAGCTACCTCAGCTACTGATGCAAGAAATTTCTTTTCACTGTAAAAAAAAAAAATTCCTGTACATTTTACATATTCCCTGTGTAAAGATATTTAATTATATTTGGAATGAAGTGTTTTTATTAAATTTATTTTTTATCTTTTCCTTTCTTCTTTTTAAGGGAAAAACATCTCCCATATACTGACCTGCTTCCTGCCGTAGCAATCCCAAACTGTCAAGAATCCGACAAGCTTCCAGGGAACACTGGATCATTGCTTCCTTCTTCTTTCCTGAGTGAATGGCCTCTGCCACCAGTTGTTTCCCAGTTGAATCATCCACCGGTAATCTGCATTGGTTTAGTGAGAGTACAGCACAGTACTAAGCTCCAATTCTCATGGAAACAATTAATGTGCAGTACATTTTTGAGATGGCTTTTCAACGTCTCAAATTCATTTTGTTCTATCTTACCAAAGCTGGACTTTCAAATCTTTTCTTTCCACCTCTTACTCACGTCACCCCACCTCCCAACACTGTGTTACTGAACTATCAAGGAGCAAATTTGGGAATGGCCCAAAATTAATCTAATGGTACTCTCTGGACTACTGTCTACAACCATAAATTAACCTAAAATTAGGTACTTTCCCAGAAATGAACAATAATAAGAAAAGAACATACCGCACCCTGCAGAGCCAAGTGCTATGTCCCTGTTCATCAAATTCGTATTCTAATTCTTCTCCTGTGAGAGGAAGAAAGAAAAAACAATTTTAATAGAATTTGAAAAGTACTAGTTGATATAATGTAGAAAAAAGTACTAGTTGATATAATGTGGAAAAAGAGAAAAAAGGTTAAATAAGGACATCAAGTTTTCATTCCACGCTTGGCATGGTGGCGTATGCCTGTAATCCCAGCACTCAGGAGGCTAAGGCAGGAGGATCACTGCAAGTTCGAGGCCAGCCTGCGCTACAGGTGAGCTCAAGGCCAGCCTGAACTGCATAGGGAGACCATGTCTCAAAAAGACAAAAAAAAAAGTTTTCATTCCACACTAAATACTAAATTTCAATACATTTCACCTCTCATTCCTAGGGAGTTTGACAGAATAAAGCAAACTCAGATCAAAACAAACAATTCTTGTGCTATGTGTGTAGCTCAGTGGTACAGCATGTGCTTGTGTATGGTCTTGGGTTAAATCTCCAGTACTGCCAAAAAATAAATAAAACCAATTGATTCCTTATGTACAGTTTTGTTCATGCCATAGTAGTTTTCACACCTTCTATAACTGTAGATTCAAGTGGCTATTTTGTCACAGTTGCTTTTTATCAACATAACTATTAAGTACAAGCTGAGCATGGCAGAGCATGGCTGTAGTCCCACCACTCAGGAGGCTACAAGAGGACTATTACCACAAGTTTGAGGCCAGCCTGGACTATCCAGCAAGAACCTGTCTCAGGCCAAGCGTGATAGTGCATGCCTATAGTCCTAGGACTCAGAAGGCTGAGGCAGGAGAATTGCCATGAGTTTGAGACCAGCATAAACTATACAGCAAGACCCTGTCTCAAAAAAACAAAAGACCCTGTCCGGAAAAAAAAAAAAAAAAAACAAGATTAAATACAGAAAGCAACCAATATTTATATGTATGTGTGTATGTATGAAATTATGTATTCTATTATTGGGATTCAACCAATTGCAGATTGAAAATATTCACAAAAGCAGATGTGGTGGTACATGCCTATAATCCCAGCACTCAGGTAGCAGAGGCAGGAGGATCACTACAAATTTGAGGCCAGTCAAGATAGTTAATTCAAGGCCAGCATGAACCACATTAGAAGAAAAAAAGCACCTGTTCTGAACATGTAGGCTACTTATTCATTTATTCATTCATGTAGTTTTTGAGACATTTGGTTTTTGCTGGGACTAAGGTGTGCACTACCACACCCAATGTGAACATGTAGTCTTTTTGTAATTATTCCCTAAAAAATACAATATAACAGCCAGTGTGGTGGTGCACGCCTATAATCCCAGCACTCGGGAGGCTGAAGCAGGAGGATCATTCCAAATTCGAAACCAGCCTGGGCTACAAGCAAAGCGCCTGCCTGGCAAGCGCAAGGTCGTGAGTTCGGTTCCCGGTACCGGAAAAAAAAAAAAAAAAAAAAAAAAAAAAACCATTAACATAGTATAGTATTCACATTGTAAGGAATCCAGAGATTTTCAAGTACATAGGAGGTCACATGTAAATGCAAATACTATGCCACTTGATACAGGGGACTTAGGCACCCTTGGATTCTGGTAAGAGGGAGGGGTTGTCCTTGAAACAATGCTCATACTCACCAACCCACTCTCTGTGCCCTTCACACTCCATTCCTTATATTAGGGATTGAATCCAGGACCTCATGCATGCTAAATAAGCATGCTAGTGCTGGGTTACGTATCTAGCAACCACCCCTTCTCCTTTTTTTGTAATTCTGAGGCAAGGTCTTGCTAAATGGTCTAGGCTAGCCTTGAATGTGTGATTCTTTTGCCTCAGCCTCCTAGATAGTTGGGATTGCAGGTGTGTGCCACCACATCCAGCAAGTCCAGGATCTTTTGAGGAGAGTAAGAGAAGTCAGGAGAAAAGTGTTTCCTTCATTCTAAAATAGGAAACAATACTAACAAGATTTTTACTATTTTCTTCTTTCTTTTGGCAGTACTGAGGATTGAACCCAGCCATGGTCTTTGCACTAAGCTACACCCCTACTATATTTTTTTATTTTGAGACAGCCCCACTAGTGGTTAAGTTGCTGAGCATGGGCTAGAACTTGTGATCCTCCGGCCACAGCCTCACAGAATGCTAGGATTAAAGGTATGTGCTAGCACACCCAACTAGATTTTGACTATTTTCAAAACAAACCTGGCAATAGAGATACAACTCTGAGGTACAACACTTGCAAAAGGCCCCAGGTTCAATCCCCAGCACCACAAAATCAAGAACAAAAGTAAACTTGAAGCAATTGACTACAAGGGTAAGAAGTGAATGAGAAAGGTAGCAGATAAAGCAAAGCATTTCTATGTGTGACACTCAACCGGAACCTCTAGAAAACAATACTGCTGTCAACACATTTTACTGTCAGGGTGAGAAAATGTTTACATACCTTCTCGGTCAAAGAAACCTTGGAGAGCCTTTTTTGGATCCTTTATATAAAAGGCTTCCCTTTCCTGCTGAAAGTCTAACACAATGGGATTCTCTTCAGCCTCATCCTCTACAGCATCTTCACCTACAGTATGTGGAAAGCAGAAAGACAATCAGACAGGAGAAGGCTGTCACACTATTATTATTACACACTTATTTCTGGAGACATCAAGATATACTTACATATGATTAAAAAAAAAAAAACATGAGGCAAGAGAAACAACAACAAAACCACCACTACAGGTATCTTCAGGTTTTCTAAATTATATAAGAGATCAAAATTTGTTTCTGTGGCACTTTAATTTTTTTCATCACTTTATTTTATTGGTAAAATTTACCTATCACACTTTAGAAAATAAATCTGAGCTCCTCAGCCTGGTCTAATACTAATATAATTTCCTAATACTGCTCTTATCTGCCAAATAGACTGGTAAACTCATTATTCCCTTGAAATCACCCATCCGTTCCTTAAATACCAATCCTTCCAAGGCACCAAATCTCAGCTTCGTAAGGGCCACTTTTCCTTTCCTTAAAAGCTTTAACTTAAAACCCTTCTCTGCTTATAAACTTAGTTTCCCAAAGACCTAAGTCAGTACTATCCCATAGAAATACAACGAAAAAACCATACATATAATGTCAAATTTTCTACCTGCTACATTAAAAACTAAAAAGAAACAGGCAAAATTATTTATCATTTCACTGTGTAATCAACACAAGAATTTACTTTTTTTACATCATCTTTGAAATCCAGTGTGCATTTTGCCCTGATAGCATGTCAATTTGGACTAGTCATTTTACAAGTATTTTAAAAACGAATTTTAAAAATATCCATAGTATACACAATTAAATTTTTTACATCAGAAGTTAATGACTCTCTTTGGATCTGGTTACCATAGACACAAACTGTTTCTGCCCTATGTATTTCAAAGAGTTATGAAAAGCTACATGATTTTTTTTAGACAGTTAAGAGTACCACCAGTAATAAACTTAATATATTAACTTCTGACAACAACTTTAAATTTCTTACCCATTCCCCAGCTGCAGCCCATGTCATCATCTTGGCCACTAGTATTCCCCTCCCTTTCCGTGGCGTCCATTTCCTCTTCATCTGAGTCTTCCCCCAGCATCTTCTTCTCCAACAACATTTGCTGCTGTTTGCGCAGTTCCTTCAACTGTGTGACTGTTAACTCAGATTCTGCCTCTCGGTCGTCTTCTGGTCCCTGATGAGCCAAGCAAGAACAATTTTTTTTAATTCTTTATATGTTCTAGATAGAAGCCTTCTGTCTGGGGGACAATCAGCTAAAAATATTGTTTCTCTAGTGTAAAACCTGAAAGAGTTAATTTAAACTAGGAGAGATGATAGACATTGTGAATTGATAGGAAAGCACTCAAAGGTAAAGGGTAACTGGGATGTGGGAAAAGAGAAGGGAAAGAAGGAGAAAGTTTGTATGTATGTATATGCAGGATAGTTAACATGGCTGTTCTACTGTCTTGTATTTCTTTGCTGAAAGAAACTGTCAATGAGTCCTTGGTTGATCAGCTTTGTATGTCTATATCTGTTTTCATGAGAAACCACTTTGAAGATATCAATATGTAATACAACAAGCATTGTTAATTCCCTACCACTCTGTTTGTAACTGCGTACTGTCTGTACTGCTCCTTTGCTATTTTGTAAAATGTTGTATGTCTGTTAATATTTTCCTCCTTTTATTTTTAAAATAAAAAAAAAGAACAATTTTTTTTAAGAGTGGAAGAGTGTGGAAGTAAATTTCAGGAACACAGCAAGGTGTATCGAGGCCTGAAGACGAGGGTCCACATTAACTCCTTCATTTTTACAATCGCTGACCGACTCTCCTTCCTCAACTAAAACTTAAGTACCTCAGGATCCCAACACGGTGAGGTCTTTTTTTGTTGTTCTTTTTAAGACAGAGTCTCGCTATGCAGTTCAGGCTGGCCTTAAGCAGTGAAATCTTAAGATTTCAATTTTTTTTCTACTTACCTGCAAGATAAAGAGTCGACTGCTGCCTCCAAAGCGAAAAACGTGTTCGACGTGGACTCGACAGTAGGTGCGGGGTGGGATGCGAGTTTTGTTGAGAAACGTGCCATGGGTACTTCCCAGGTCGTACAGGTAGAAACCCTGCCCCTGGCCTTCGCGTTCTTCGTCCCCGCGGGGCGCCCTGTGCTGCAGCACGGCGTGATACCGCGACACCGAAGGATGCTCCAGGCATACGTCGCAGCTAGACAGCCTCCCGAAAAGGCAGTAACTCGCTCCTTTCAAGCTACGGGTGCCAAGGATAGTGCCGCCCTTCAGAGTCTCTAGGGTGTAGGAGGCGGTGGCTGGGCCGCCCCAAGGAGGCTCTTGGTACGGTGGTGTCCGGGCCGGGCCCTCTGGGTTAGAAACCACAGTCGCGGGGCGCAGCTGCTGTTCTGGGAGACTCCTAGTCTCCCCGCCGTCGGGCCGAACCAGCGGAACTTCGGGTTCCCCAGAGTCGGAACCCGGCAGCGCCGTGGGACTTTCCTCCCTCACCTCCCCGAGGTTTGCAGGACTGACAGCCGAAGCCTTACCCCGCACTGCCGAGGACCCTGGCAGGGCTGGCTTCTTGAAGTCGCCACTGAGCTCTACCGATGCCGGCGGCTCTGGCTGAGACTGAGTATCAGCCATTCTCGAGCAGGCGCAACCTCGAAATGTGTCCCTAGGAAACCTCACCCTTCTCTCTGTGTGTTCCTGTCCTCGTCTCCCTCTTCCAAACTCCCGGTGGCTTCTCTGGACGGGAATGGTAAGAGTTGACCCTTCACAACTCAGAGTGGTGCGTAACACAAAAAGGCCAAAATAACAGGAAAAGGCTACAGTACTGCTGTGAGGCATGGGGGATAGCTTTAAAGGTTGCAACAGGAGTATAATGACTTCCTGTGGCACGGCCTAATTCGAAGGAAACACTTCCGGCAGCCTACGACCACTAATCAACAAACCAGCCTTGTAGGCCGGATGCGACCCTCGCCTCAGGGATCCGGAGGCAGACAGCCGCCCAGCCGACTCCTGGAAAACGGTAGTAAACAGTGACGCCTTTTTGTCTGGGTTCTGGCGCAGAGCTCTCCATCTTCCGGCTTCCCTGGACTTCAGGTAGAGCCAGGATCCTGTGATTGGCGTGTGCGCCTGTGACCGAGGAACCCCACACACACACCTAGGAACCTGGCATTCCTTAGGTTCAAAACCTGTCCTTCTTACTCCTTTCGGCGAAGTTAGGGAAGCGGGCAGGTTTTTTTGTTGCTTTATTCTTTAGGAAATGAGTTGAGGTAGCATAGTAAGAGGTTGTGTAGTAGCACTGACTGTGACAGTGGGCAAGACATTGGGCTTCAACCTGTACATCTGAAAATAGGGATAATAGTATCATCTATTCACAGAGTTGTTGGGAGAATTGAACTAAACAATAGAAGACTGGCATATAGCAAGCACTCAATAAATGCCAGGTTTTGTACCAAGATCACAGCTGTAATAGGTACATGAGAGGATAAAGTTGATTGAGATAAGTATTGGAATAAATGCTGTGACTGAGTCATGTAAGGTGATATGAAAATATAAGGTGGGCGGGGGATATAGCTCAGTGGCACAAGCGCCTACCTGGCAAGCGCAAGGTCCTGAGTTTGATTCCCGGTACAAAAAAAATTAAGGAAAAGATACACAGGGGGAGGTGATAAAGGACAGCACCTTAAGATATTGTTCAGATCAAATATGGGGACCAGGGCTGTAGCTCAGTGGCACAACTACTGCCTGGCAAGCACGAGGTCCTGAGTTCAATTCCCAGTAACAAAATAAAAAAGGACAAATACGGCCAGACGTCATGGCACACATCTGTAATCCCAGCACTTGGGAGGCTGAGGCAGGAGGATCACCTTGAATTCTAGGCCAGCCTGGGATACGTGGTGAACTCAAGGCCAGCCTAAACAGCATAGTGAGACCTTGTCTCAAGAAAAAAAAAAAGAAAAAAAAAATATATATATATATAAATCTGCTGCTAGGGATTAGGGGTCATAAGGCATTTTTGGCAGAGATCACAAGGTCAACTACGGGAATGCCACCCATTTTTAAGAAACTGAGTAGGGGCGAAGTATAGTGGTGCCTACCTATAATTCCAGGATTCAGGAGGCTGAGGCAGGAGGGTTGTGAGTTTGAGAGCTACATAAGGAATTTGAGGCTAACCAGGGGTACATAGAGACCCTGTCTCAAAAAAAGAGAAAGATTTTATTATTGAAATTAAACTGGTCATATAGTCCAAGTGTTAGAAAAAAAGGAGAAAGAAACAAAGGTAAGCACTCAACAGGGCAAGTTTATTTCAGAAGAAACCTGAGAGGGACCGTGCTGGCCCTTTGACCAGCGTGGATAACTCTTGTATAGGCTCTAAGGTCTTTTATAACCTCATGATCCTAAAGAGGGGCTGTGAAAGGAAAAGATAAAATCGGGACTTTCGAGGGGGATAGTTGAGTGAAAAGGAGTTGTGGCTGCCTGCCAAGGACAAGGTTTGAGAACAAAGAAGGAGTACTGGTTTCTTGTTAAGAGCAGGGCTGAAGAATGATGAGAGATATGGGGGGTAGCTGTTCATACTGGGCCTTATCAACCCATGATGATCCATCTTTAGCAGGTGTATGAGCGTAGCGGGGGGAAGAGGGTTAACACGATCTCTGTTCAGCCTAGGATGGCGGCAGTTGGATTCCTTCAGTAGGAAGTTCCTCCACTGTGCTTCCACTGCAGTAGGTCTGACCTTTAGAACAGCACTTTCCACATGCTTTCATATTGAAATATTTTTTATCTGTTTTTTTCCTCACTTTAGGACACAGAACTTGCACTCTTGGTATTTGTCCCCTCACATAACGCCTGGCTTTCACTAAATGTTTGTTGAACCTGAAGATACACATGAGCAATGAATCTGGAAAGGCAGGTTGAAGCCAGACTGTAAACTTCACTGAATAATAAGCCAAAGAATTCTGACTTTTTCCAGAAGGCAATAAGAAGCAATCATATTTGAGTTTTCAAAGATTAAGCCTAGGAGCAGTGTGAAGAATAGATTAAATGAAAACAGAGTCAAGAGGAAGGGATATGAATGAGAAGGCAGCAGAAACCTCTCAGATTCTTCTTTATATATGTTAAAAGTTGAAAGGATAAGACTGCATTAGACGTTCATATATTTTCCCACCAGTTAAAGTGTTGCCCTGCCTGATGCATATGGAGTACAAACCACCTCTTACTGGTTTTTAGCTCTAATCCCTTCTTCCAGGGATCCAGAACAGTTGTGTCAAGATACTCGGAGAAACTGGGCATGGTGGCACATGCCTGTAACCCCAGCACTCTGGGAGACTGAAGCAGGAAGATCACAGGTTCAAGCCCAGCCTGGGCAACTTAATGAGACCCTGTCTCAAAAGGGTTGAGCTGGGCATGGTGGCACTCGCCTGTAATCCCAGCACTCAGGGAGGCTGAGGCAGGAGGATCATTGCAAGTTCAGGATCAGCCTGGGCTACAAAGTGAGCTCAAGGTCAGCCTGAACTGCATAGTGAGACCCTTGTCTCAAAAAGACCAAAAAAAAAAAAAAGGGGGGGTTGAGGATGTAACTTAGTGCAAAAGCCCTTGGTTCAATTCTCAGTATGGGGAAAGGGTAGATAACTCTGAAAAATACTTGTGGTTTTTCTTGGTTTGTGTTTTTTGTTCTGTTTTGAGACAGGGTTTTGCAGTGTAGTTCAAGCTGGCCTGAAGCTCTCTATGTAGCCCAGACTGAACTCATGGCAGTACTTCTGCCTTAGCCTCTTGAGTGCTGGGATAACAGGTGCACGGCACCATGCCCAGCTCAGACCTCATATTTAAGTAACATACTTTTAAATTTTTATTTTGTTTTGTTTTGTTTTTTTGAGACAGGGTCTTACTGTGTACCCCAGGCTGGCCTCAAACTCATAGTGATCCTCCTACCTCAGGCTCCAAAGTGCTGGGATGTAGGCATAAGCCCCAATACCCTGCTTAGCTTTGCAGATTATTTAGAATTAGTTCTAGTAATGAAGTGGTGAAGTGACATAGAAAGTGAGGACACTAGGCCAGGCGTGGTGGTGCACGCCTTTAATCTCAGCACTCGGGAGGCTGAGGCAGGAGGATCCTTGTGAGTTAGAGACCAACGAGGGCTACAAAGTGAGCTCAAGGCCAGCCTGAACTGCATAGCCAGATCCTGTCTCAAAAAGACAAAAAAAAAAGAAAGGAAAAGAAAATGACATTAGGGTGACCCAAACACAATTGCAGCTATCTGTCTACTAATGACTCAGATCCTACCTTGTGGTTTGGTCCAGTAGGTATTGTCATTGTGTGACAGGGATCGGCAGCTAACCATTGTACTTCTCTTAATTTCTTCAGGGAGAACATCTTTGGTCCTACAGTTTTGCTGCACTGATATTCTTCAAAGTGGCCTTAAACAGCTTGGTTTTGTGTAAATAACTGGCTAGACTTCGTCATATTTTCCACTACAGAAGTCTACAACCTACAATTGCCAGAGATTTAAACATACTACTTTTAGGATATCATCTACATTAAACTCAAGGGCTCTTCCTTTCTTATTCCAAAATGTTGAGATACTGGGGAGAGATACCCATGTCATCAAGCCAGACAAACAGAAGTTCCTTTGATCTGCTCCCACGGGAGTTCCGGCTGGTGGAAGTCCATGACCCACCCCTGCACCAGCCCTCGGCCAACAAGCCCAAGCCCCCCACCATGCTGGACATCCCCTCAGAGCCATGCAGCCTCACCATCCATACCATTCAGCTCATCCAGCACAACCGACGCCTTCGCAACCTTATCGCCACAGCTCAGGCCCAGAATCAACAGCAGACAGAAGGTGTCAAAACTGAAGAGAGTGAACCTCTTCCCTCCTGCCCTGGGTCACCTCCTCTGCCTGATGACCTTCTTCCTTTAGATTGTAAGAATCCCAATGCACCATTCCAGGTCCGGCACAGCGACCCAGAGAGTGACTTTTATCGGTAAGGCAAAGTTTCACTGTATCTTATTTTTTTCAAGTTATGTTCCGACGACCCTGTTAAGCCTGTCTGAGCATTTCCATTTCCACATGAGGAAACTGGGAATAAGAGCAGTTGACTTGGCCAAGGTCACTCAAGTAACTAGCAGGAAGTCTGAGTCTTGAATCAAAATCTGCAGAATCTAGAGTCTATACTTTTAAAGTTTTAGATGCAATAGATACTTATCAAGTGCCAACTATGTGCCAAGCATTTTTACTAGGAGCAAGGTAATACATTGGTATGCATAAAAAGACCAGGGTCTCATAGGCTTCAGAGTGCAGTCTGTTTATTGTAAAATATATGTATAGGTTGAGCTTAGTATTTTCAATTGGGATTCATGGACTTACTCTAATATTATTAGGAATCTGCAAGTCTATACAAGAGTATGTTTGTTTTGTTTTTGAGATAGGGTCTCACTCTGTAACCCAGGCTGGTCTTGAACTTGAGATTCTCTTGCTCACTCATCAGAGTGCTGAGAATTTAGGCATGTGCCACTGCGCTTGATTTACAAGAATTTTTAAATTCTATATTTTTGTTTTCTTTTTCTCTTTCTCTTTCTTTTTTTGAGACAAGGCCTTGCTATGTAGACCAGGCTAGCCTCGAACTCGTGGTGATCCTCATGCCTCAGCCTTTTGAGTGCTGAGATTACAGGCATGTGCCACCATGCCTATATTTTCATTTTGATAACATCATTTAGGAAATAATAATGTAAAAATGTTCTTGAATCTTGTTACTCAAAATCTGGTCCAACATCAGCAGCTCAAGCTTTGCTGAGTCAGAACCTGCATTGAACCAGAGCTACAGGGAATTCATGGGTGCATTTAAGTGTGAGAAGCCCTGCTCCAGATTCTCTGAATAACTGCTTTATAATCTAATGCTACTGCTGGATTTCAGTGTATACATTCATATTTGGTGCCAGTTACTTTTCATTGTGAAATTTGTCACACCTGCAGAGAGTTCAAATAAAAGAATAGACATGCAGGGCTGGAGGTATAGATCAGCGGCACAGCACCTGCCTGGCAAGCACAAGGGCCTGAGTTTGATTTCTAGTACCAAAAACAAAAAGTAGAGGGGCTGGGGATTTAGCTCAGCGGCAAAGTGCCTGCCTGGCAAGCGCAAGGTCGTGAGTTCGGTTCCCGGTACCGGAGAAAAACCAAAACCAAAAAAAAAAAAAAAAATTAAAACAAAAAGTAGAATAGGCATTCAAATACTCCCCACCTGGTTTCACCAATGGTTAATATTTGACCATATTTACTTTCTTGTATGTATATATATATACGTATGGACAAATACACAAATATGTGCAGTACATGTATTTGCCATTTTAATGCATATTATAGACATCACAGTATTTCACCCGTAATTCTTCAGCATGCATATCCTAAAAATGAGAATATATTTCTGCATAATCACAATATCAATATCATACTAGAGTAAATGAACACTGGGGCCAGGGGTATAGCTCAGCAGCACAAGCGCCTGCCTAGCAAGCATAAGGTCCTGAGTTTGATTCCCAGTACAAAAAAAAAAAAAGAAAAGAAAAGAAAAAAAAAAGTAAATGAACATTAATTAACATCATTTAATAAGTCCATATTCAGATTTTTCCAGTTGTCCCCAAAATATCTTTTCTAGATATTTTTTTCCCATCCAGAATCTAACAAAGATTCATGCATAGCATCTAAATGTTATACCTTTTTAATATCATTATGAGTTCAGGGAATTGTCTTGTAGAATGTCCTCCTTACTAAATTCTCTGATTATTTCCTTAAGGTTAGATTCAGGTTAAAGAAGTTCAGCAAGAATACTGCAGAAAAAAAAAAAAGAATATTGCAGAAACAGTATTGTATATGTTTTATTATATCTGCCTATTGGTGATAATAGTTACTTTTTTTTATTGTCCTAATGAGAAAAGTAGGTTTAACATGTTAGGGCTGCGGTTGGACCATCTGATGTGAAGGCACATGTAACTGAAAGTTCTGAAGAAGTTCTGGAACAATGAAAGGGTGAGGAATAAATGTGTTATTACATGCATGGCACACACTAGCATAGATATACTCAACTCAAAAAACTTACTCCAAAATGGGCTGGGGGTTTAGTTTAGTGGCACAGCGCCTGCCTGGCAAGCGCAAGGTCATGAGTTTGATTCCCAGTACTGGAAAAGAAAAACCAAAACTTACTCCAGAACAATCAGTAACAGTTTGAGGGCAATGTAGTTTCAACAAAATAATATTATCCATCATATCAAATTGACACTGTTACCTAGGCATGGTGTTGCATGCCAGTAATCCCAGCATTCTGACAAACTAAGCCAGGAGGATTGCAAGTTCAAGCCCAGCCTGGGCAATTTAACAAGACCCTGTATCAAAAAAAAGAGTGGAAGTTAGGGGTGCAGCTCATTGCAAAGGCTCTGGATTCAATTCTCAGTAGCAGACCCCCCCAAAATTGATGGTATTAATAATTTTGTAGTTTCTGTCATAATTACTACCTATAATCATCAAAATGTATACCTAGTTTTGTGTCATCTATATTTTAAGAACTAGGATAACAAAAATGATTGTTAGGTATTGGGAAACCAAAATATTTTTTGTTGAAAATAGTCCATATATTACTCAGGTAAAGTGGTAGTGGTTCAGCTCTGATTATTAGGCTCCTCTGAGGCATTTAGCATTTGGCCCAAAGAGACTGGCTAGGAAATGATGATGGAAATATTAAGTGCAAAGTTACTTGGCAACTGGTTGTCTTATTTTTCAGCTATTTCATGAACTGCAGTGGTTGTAACTGAACAGATAATAGTGGTGTGGGTGGACGATTCTTCAGGCACTCTTGCACAGTGTGTGGTGACACACACCAGGTCCAGGCGAGGAGCAGCGATTTTCTGTGTTTTATTATTTATAACATAAATCCCATTGCTAGAGGGAGGCAGAAGCCAGATCACTTGTTAAAACTGTCTTTAGGACAGCAGACAGCTTTTCTTAGATCAAGATTTCTGTAATAGTGATTAGGGGCAAATGGCACATTATGAAGTACCTGGGCTCTGGAGTCAGAAGGTCACTGGTTATTAATAAAACCTAACTACTTTTGGCATGTCAGTCTGTTTGAGCCTCAGTTTGCTTATCTGGCAAACAGGAATGACAATGATACAGACCCTATCCATTTCACAGCATAAGATAGAACAAAAAAGTCTTGTATGTGTATACAAAGTTTTGTATTTGTATACAAAGTCTTTGTATTTGTATACAAAGTTTTTGTATACGAAGTCTTGTATACAGTTGAGTTGCCTTCTCAGTTAAAAATGACCCCTTATGGTTGTATAAGAATCTTCTATTGGGAACTGAATTTTTGAAAGTTTATTCCCCAGTGTGTATGGAAGCTACATTGTGGTAAAATAAGAGCACCTTTGAGCAGTGTCTCAGCCAGCAGTACTATTCAACCTAATACTGAAACTGATCAAAACTGAACAGTTCATAGAAGGAAGTTTCCTTTTCCCCATAATTGTTTGTACTGCTTACTATAGATGGACACGTACTGCTATTCAACTGTGCAGGTGGAAGGGCTCAGAGATATAACTGTGGGTGGCCTGGACATGGCCTCAGCAGCTCAGTGAAACTCAGCAGTGTAACCTAGATGGAATTTTCCTGGAAAGCGACCCAGTGATTTAACTGGAATTGTGAAACTCCTAGAGAGACTGGACAGACCACCCCTTGGCAATCGCACTAATATTACTGTCATGTCTGCACTTTCAGTGGGAAAGGGGAACCTGTGACTGAACTCAGCTGGCACTCCTGTCGGCAGCTCCTCTACCAGGCGGTAGCCACCATCCTGGCGCATGCGGGCTTTGAGTGTGCTAATGAAAGTGTGCTGGAGACCCTCACTGACGTGGCACACGAGTATTGCCTTAAATTCACCAAGCTGCTACGCTTTGCCGTGGATCGGGAGGCCTACCTGGGACAGACTCCTTTCCCTGACATTATGGAGCAGGTATTCCATGAAGTGGGTATTGGCAGTGTGCTCTCCCTCCAGAAGTTCTGGCAGCACCGCATCAAGGACTACCACAGTTACATGCTGCAGGTGAGCTGTCCTGTGTGGAAGTAGACAAAGTTGTCCAGTCTAGGGATGTTCACCAGGCTCCCACGATCCCATGTGCAGAACACAGGATTTGGAGTGACCATAACATTCTTTCTCATGGCCCCAGCTGTTTTCCATGGGTCTTTTCCTGGATTTGGCCAGTCGCTAGGGTTCTGCTTTAATTGGAAACAGCCTAATCATTGTTATTCCCTTGGGAAGAAATTCTACACAGGGGTATGGTATCTGAGTGAACGTGGTTGGCTTTTTTTATTCAACAGACATTTACTTGGTTTTTTGTGAGTCAGGCATCATGGGACATAGCAGTTAGCAAGATAGGTTTCTTGAACTCATAATCTTGTTGAGTCTTGAACTGGTAGTCTTGTAGTCTTGTTGAAACAAAAATAGGTAAACAAATAATGACCATGATGTTAAGTGCTATGAAGAGCAAAGTTTGCAAGGTAATAATTGTTTGAGAAGATAGGAGGACATTTTTGGTTAGACCACAAATATCTCATCCACACCTGCAGCTGTAAGCAAGTCATCTGTTCACTGTTGCAGTTTCCCAGGCCTAAAATATGATTGGTAATTTTTAACATGCAACAACAACCAAAAAAAGACTTTGCTAAGTAATCCACATTTCCCACCTACTTTGTTACCACCTAGGGTATCTATGCCTAATGTTACTTTTTATACACAAACATTAATCGTTTGTTCCTGATGTATCTGTAACATAACATTTTATTTTTTATTTTTAACTTTTAATTGATGAAACACACAACATCTTTACAAGTCTCTTCCACTTACAATTGCAAACTTAACACCTTAAAGACATTTCCTTCCTGGGGCAGTGGAAGGCTTGTTGTTTTGCTGGGCTGGAGACTAAACCCATTGCCCAGCTTTTGCGGAGCAAGCCTCCTCACCCTGAGCTGCACACCCGGCTCCAGCAGTGGCTTTGTAAGAACTTTTCTGTTACCCATATTTTGTTGGCTTTTCCTTGGGATGCTACGTGTTAACTGTCCAGTTTGCTTCTAACATATCCCTGCAATATTAACTCCTGCTTGCCAACAGATTAGTAAGCAGCTCTCTGAAGAGTATGAAAGGATTGTCAACCCTGAGAAAGCCACAGAGGACACAAAACCTGTGAAGATCAAGGAGGAACCAGTGAGCGACATCACCTTTCCTGTCAGTGAAGACCTGGAGGCTGACCTTACTTCGGGAGACCAGTCCCTGCCCATGGGCGTTCTTGGGGCTCAGAGCGAGCGCTTCCCTTCTAACCTGGAGGTGGAAGCCTCACCACAGGCTTCAAGTAAGAGATAGCAGTGTATTCCATTTTGATTCCAAGAGATCTGCTGACTTTAGCACTCAGTAGCATTGAAGAATCAAGCTCTGGAAATGGAGGAACAAAACTGAGTAGGCAGAATGGAAAGTGATTTATCTTTAGTGATGGAGAAATCCCAAAATTATTCTAATTAGTGAGGAGGGGACCAACACAGCTTCATAGGCTTTCTTCACGGTAATCCCAGGTAGGATGTGGATGCGTTGTGTGTTGTCTGTTGATTGCCAAGATGGATTCAGCTGACTGACCTGGGTAGGCAGATACCCCCTCTTCTTTGAGGATTCTGTGTTAGTCCTTGCTGGTGCTGGTGATTAAATGAGTAAGACAACTGCCAGATAGATGAAAGAATGTCAGCTGCTCGAGGATGTTTAAATAATAGTTGAGCATCCTTGCTAGAGTACTCCAACAATTTGAAATTAAAAGCATGGAAATAGGGCTACCCAGCTGAGGGAGCTGGCCTCTTCCACACAGAGGCTGTGGTCTTAGGGACCAAGACAGCTGACTGATTACTTGAGTGAGTTACATTAAGACTTTTACAACAGGACATAATTCATGTCTTCATCCCAGGCAGCTTGAACCACTGGTGGAACATGCATGACAGTCCCACTAAGAGGGCTTTTATTACTTTTATTAGTAAAAAGACTGATAAAAGTAACTAGATCCATTTTACCACCAGTGGTACAAGCTACCTGATAATACAGACATAAATATACCATTGGTGGTTCAAGCCCGAAGGAATGTGTTAATCTGGGTTTGATTTTTTGGTTTTTGTTTGTTTTTTTGAGACAGGATCTCATTACATAGCCCAGGCTGGCCTCAGACTCGTGGCAGTCTTCCTGCGTTAGCCTCCTGAGTGCTACAGGCGTGTGCCACCCTGTCCTGCAGGAATGTGTTAATATGGGCACTTGGTTGTCTATAAACATACATTGTCCATGCAGAAATAACTCAAATAGCAAATCCTCAAATGTAGCCTAATTTAAGTATTGGGAAAGAGCCTTTCACCGTGGAAGAAGTCATAACAATCCCAGCATCGCTAGACTACTTAGTGTAGGGCAGTGGTGGCAAACCTGCGGCACACTTGCACCTGTGTTTAGCAACAGGCCGTTTTCTTGTTCCTCCATAGTCAAGATTACCCGGGACTGGGGCTGGGGATTTAGCTCAGCGGCAAAAGCGCCTGCCTGGCAAGCGCAAGGTCGTGAGTTCGGTTCCCGGTACCGGAGAAAAACCCCAAAAAAAAAAAAAAAAAAAGATTACCCGGGACTCCTCCATGGAAATGACAGTTTGCCAGAGGGAGAAGGTAGAGCATGCCCCAGGCCCCCTCATTCCTGTTGGACTAACTGGTAGGATGGGTCTGAGCTCTAGGGCCTCTGCTTCACAGGGCAGACTGATCTCCAGTGGTCACCTTTGCATTCAGCCGAGCCCTTTTCTAAGTTTTGAGACAGGTTCTTGCTGAGTTGCCGAGGTTGGGCTAGAACTCACAGTCCTCCTGCCTCAGCTTCCTACAGTGCTGGGATTACAGGTGAGCGCCACCCTGTGTGAGTACCTGGCTTTGTCCACAGGATAGGGAACCTTTCCTCCTGCATAGTTTTACTTGTCTGTTATGGGGAAAAAGGAGGCAGGTGAGGTAAAGGAAAAAAATGTGGAAGAAGTAGAAAGGAAGATATTCAGAGCTGGCAATCTGCTGAAGCTTTTTGAAGCAAAGAATAATGGCTGTATTCTCTAGCCGAGTAAAGAATCAGGAAAAAAGATCAAAGGACATTCGTCGGTGCAGGTGGGATACATTCTGCCTTGTTCAGCACTTGGCTTCCCGTTAGGTAAACGTTCTTCCCTCACTTCTAGGTGCAGAGGTCAATGCTTCTCCTCTTTGGAACCTGGCCCATGTGAAAATGGAGCCTCAAGAGAGTGAAGAGGGTAATGTGTCTGGGCACGGCGTGCTGGGCAGCGACGTCTTCGAGGAGCCCATGTCAGGCATGAGTGAGGCTGGGATCCCTCAGAGCCCGGATGACTCAGACAGCAGCTATGGCTCCCACTCCACGGACAGCCTCATGGGGTCCTCCCCTGTTTTCAACCAGCACTGCAAGAAGAGGATGAGGAAAATATAAAAGGAAAAGAAGGACATTTTCAGGCCAGACCTATAACACCCTCGGGAAAACCTTAGTGTATCAGAATTTGTTTCTATAAACAAGGATTTGGCTCTTATTCTTAAAAATTAGGCTTTACTAATTTCAGAGATACTGGACTTAACCGAGTAAGTCTGCATTTTACTTCGGCATCCAGTGTATAGGTTCCTGCAGCAACCAAGCCACCATTCACAGGTGGGTCAGGAGACCAAAGTGCTGTCCCCAGCTGTTGTCTTCACTGTGACTGCACATTACTTGGCTTCTTTGCAGCTGTTTTCCTTGCAGAGTTGAGAAGAATCCCGCCACTGTGACATCCCATGCAGGTGTGAGGACCCAGACGTTTGCCCAACTTCACAGTGGTATTTGCATACTCATAAAATATATGCTGATGTCAATTTTGCATTTAATGCCATCACTTTTGGTTCAAGTCATTGGGAGTACAGTACTAGTACCTAACAAGAAAGAGCTAAATACAACAAAGCTTCCCATTAGTCATCTTTTTAAAAATGTTTTTGCTGCCTATGAAGCTACTTATAAAACCAGGGCTGCGGTAACGCATGTTATTGCGTATTCTGATAGCCCTGTGAACTCACCCACGGCCTTCTTCAGCCTTCTGTAGGCTTCCATGCATCCTTACCCTTCTAACCTTTTGTTCTCCTGCCTCAGACTTTCCGTTGTTCACCGTGTACATTTTTCCAGTTGTTCATTTTCTCCTTTGTGACTGAAGCAAACAGGACCAGTCCAAGGATTGGCTTGGCTTTTCTTTTTTTTTTTTTGTCTTTTTGAGACAGGGTCTTATTATGCAGTTCAGGCTGGTCTCGAACTCACAACAATCCTCCTGCCTCAGCCTCCTGAGTGCTGGGATTACAGGCGTGCACAACCACGCCTGGCCTTGGCTTGGCTTATTCCCTGTGTTGTATCCGCTTGGTCATCAGGACAGTGGTCCATTTCTCCCAGTGTCCCACACCTACACACTGTGCTTCTGCTACCTAATGGGCAGCCTTTGACAGAGCAGCACACACCTGTCCACTTCACACCCGACCCAAACTGCTGTACTGTCCCCTTCCAGCACAGTATTATCAAGGAAATGAGGTAGCACTGTAGTGATTAGGAGTAAATGGCAAATGTGTGTTTCAGACTTCCTAATGCTGCCATCGTGTTCAGCAAAACTGCTGAAGTTCAATTGTCTAATGCAGAGTAAAGTCCTGGGAAATGTACACTACTATTTTAATGGAGACCAAAACTAAGGTGCAGGTTTGATTAATACATTATTGAGTGCCTTAAGTATCTCAGGTATTGAGAATAATGTGACTGTGGCAAAATGAGGTTATAATTTAAATGTTAAGAAATAATTTATAAGTCTGATCATAAACCCTTAGCACACTTATCTGGACCCTTCCTGTTCGTCTTAGCCTCATTCCCCCTTGTTTACTAATAAAAATGGCCAGCAGGTGGCGTGTGTAAAGTAGCCAGCTGGGCACTCTGTTCACAGCAAACATGAAGTACCTATTATACACCTAGGTCCTGTGCAGGGAATGCAGAGGTGATTTAAGATAGATACAGAGCTGACAGCATAGGAGAGACCAATTTTTTATTTTGTGGGCGTACCGGTAATCAAACTCAGGACTTAAGTGCGCCAGGAAGGTGCTATGCCACTGAGCTAAACCCCTGGCCCCAAGACCAATTACTTTTAAAGGAAGAGATAGGATCAAAAGCACTAGAAGAAAACGGAGTTAAGAGTTCTGCTTTATAAATGGTTTCCCCTGAAAGAACAGGTCAAATATTACACCAGTGATTTCCACTAGGTACAGAATACTGAAATTACTACTTCATAGTGAAATACTTTTAATACTTTGTTAAGTTTAAATTGGGGAATACCCAGGGCATGGTGGCACATATCTAATCCCAGCACTCAGGAGGCTGAGGCAGGAGGATCGCCATGAGTTCCAGGGCAGCCTGAACTATGTAGTGAGTTCAAGGTCAGCCTGAATTATGTAATAAGACCCTGCCCTCTGTCTCAACAATAGATAATAATTGAATAGGCACACAGATGGTTAAGATCAGGGTACGATACTAAGGTAAGTCATTTAGTCATTTGAGGGTTGGTACCTAATTTACCTGGCTGGAAAGATGTCATAAGCTTCTGAGTTGAAGCAGCGTTGCTCAAACCACTGTGCCCTAGAACTCTCTAGAGGGCTCATTAAAACAGGTTGCTGGGCCTCACTCGCAGTTTCTGCTTCACTTTTCTGCTTTGTGTGGTGTTTTTAGTAATTTTCCCACTAATGCTGGTGCTTCTGGTGCAGCGCATAGGCTCTGAGAAGCACCAAGCTGCCGTACGGCCAGCCAGGGCAAACTCTTACAATGGCTCTGATGTATAGAATGGGCAGCGAATGGAAACCCAGGGCATTTGAATAAAACACCAAGGATACTCCGAAATTAGTGCAAAGTATCAAATACAAACCAGGCTCAGCTCTGGAGTTTGTACCTGGCAAACGGTTGTTATGGTTGATACATTGTGTCAACTTGGGGAGTCCAGAGGTTTGGCTAATTGACTCAGCAGGAAGCCAGGGTTCTTACTTTGTATACATCCTGAGCCTGTGGAAGAGGAGGGCATGGAAATTATGTGAGAGCTACATGCCCCTTAGGTGGGGGTAGTCTGTTTACAATGTAAGGCAGGGAAAGAAGCTGCTTGCCGCCATTGCTCCCGTTTGCTGTGGCTGTTTGCTGTTGGGCTGCCATTCCCTGCTTTGCTCTTGTTGCTTTGCTATATAGAGCTGACAGCATAGGAGAGACCAATTTTGGCCTCGGAGCCAGCCAAGTATGGCCTGAAACCTCCACAAACTGTAAGCTAAATAAACCTTTCCTTCCTTCATTTTGGGCGCTGAGTATTTTGTCTCAGCAATGAGAGAAAAGTAACCAAGACATCGGTGCACATCACCTTAGTGAAACAGGTTTGGACATGACTTCAGGCCTCTACTGCACACAGTGACTCTTATCTGTGATTGTACAATTTTTTTTATTTGAAATCATGACAGGCTTATAACAAAGTTACAATTAAAACCTCTTTATCCAGATCACCATTTAAACAGGATTCTTCCTCAGAAATCACATGCTTGCCCGCTTTCTTCAGCAAACCTGGTGTCCTTGGATGAGCCACCTAGTGTGACACACATTTCATACCAACAGACTGGTCACCAAGAAGATCCTACTGCCACTCTGGACAAGCTCGTTTCCCCTCTCTTCTTTTGGTAGCGGTGGTGGTGGTGGCACCAGGAATCAAACTCAGGACCTCACGCTTGCCAGGCAGGCACTGCACCACTGAGCTAAATCCCAACCTCTCCACTCTCCCTTTGTGTAAGACAGCAACTCCGCTCAAGGGCACAATGCTGAGAGGCAGATGCTATGAATCCAGCCGATAGTCAAGATATGAGATGGTCATCAGGGCAGTAAGTTCTCTGCACTCCAGAAGCGGCAAGAGTACTTGAGTTCAAATGGTAAAACTTCAAGTTTTGGGCCTGAAGGAGTATCAGCTTCTGAGAGCAGTCAAGGTATCTTCCTTGCATAAATACAAGGGAAAGGCCAAGGCAGAACTGGCATCTCCTGCTTGCTTCAAGAGTCTTCTTTCCCCTAACTTCATCTGAGTCATGAGGTTTCCCTAAAAAGAGAAACTGCTATTCTGAAGAAAAAAATACTTTTACAGTGCCAGGGATCACCCCAGAGCCTCGTGCGTGCTAGGCAAATGTTCTACCATGGTAACTTGTTAACTCCCCAGTGATAAAATTGCTCATCATATCCCTCTATCAGAGGTAAGGACAGTTTATTCACATGAGGTCCAGAATTCAGGACTTCTGGAAACAAGTGAAGTTGCCTAAAAGTTTATTTCTTGTTTCTCTTCCAGTACTGTGCCCTTGATTCTTGCATAAAATTCTGAAATGCTGGCTCTTCATGGCTTTCCTCTGTAACTGCAAGGAGGAAAAGGATGTTTTTTTAAAACTTCAGACAAGCAGATCAGAGCTCCTGTCACCCATCAGAAGCAGTACTGTATTTCCGAGAAACTGCTCATTCCTCACAAAGAAAGCATCCCAGAAGCATGATGAACTTAGTAGCATGTTGCCAAAATGTACAGCTTTATAAGTGGGAGAATACCTCACTTATAAAGTGTCAGTTCACTGAGATCCCACTCTTAGGTTTTTTTATTTGTATTTTTTATTTTGTGGTATGTTTAGCCAAGAGAAATAAAAACATATCCACACGAAGACCTAGTTGTAAATGTCTATGGCACCTTTACTCATAATAGCTCAAATCCACCCAAATGTCAGTTAGCTGTGAATGGATAAGCAAATTGTAATACACGCGAGTAACAGAATATTACTCAGTAATAATGTACTACTGTGGTACTGTACTGATGAACATATTCCTATACTCCATGCAACAACATGAACAAAATGCAAATTGTGTGAAAAAAAAATCAAATATAAAAGACTAAATACAATGATTCCACTTACATGCTACTCTGAACTAAGTAAAATAGTTGGAAGAGAAATCAGCCAGTGGTTGCCAGTAACTACGTATTTAGAAAGGAAAAGCCCAAGAGGGCTTTTAAAGTGTAACAGAAGTATTCTGTATTTTGATTGTGATAATGGTGACATTTATGAAAACTCGTCAAACTACCTACTTAAAAGTCATTATTTCACTATTTATGAATTACATCTCTAAATCCAGCTAAATGAGGCTGAGGCAGGAGGATCTCAAGTTCAAGGCTAGCCTGGACATCTTAGCAAAACCCTGTCAAGTAAAAAGAGTTAGAGACGGCAGGTGTAGTGGAACACATCTGCAATCCAGCACTCAGGAGGGTGAGGCAGAGGAGTGTCACAAGTTTGAGGCCAGCCTAGGCTAAATTGTGAGTTCAAAGCCAGCCTGAAGTAGTGAGATCCTATCTCCAGAAAAAGGCTAGAGATACAGTTCAGTGTTCAACTCTCAAAAAAAGAAAAAAAGAGAAAGTATTAGATGCAGCTTACAGTCCATAATACTGCACCAAATGGAAAATGATCTCCAGACCCACCTTATCCTCACCCTCATAATCCTTCTCACTGGTTTAGTTCTCTGCTCAGACCTTCGTGTGCTTTCAGTGCATTCTTTATTTTTCCCCAGCACTAAGGGACTGAACACAGGGCATTCATGCTGAACTATATCCTCAGCCCATTTTTTATTTTTTGAGACAGGGTCTTGCTAATTCCCTGAGTTGCCCAGGCTTGGCTGAAATTTGTGATCATTCTGCCTCAGCCTCCCAAGTGCTGGGATGATGGGCATAAACCCCTACACCCAGCTCTTACACATTCTTACAACACTTGGGGCTGAAGATGTAACTCGGTGGCAGGGTGTGCTGTTAGCATGCATGAGGTCCTGGGCGCACAAAAAAAAAGTTGTTAAACTTTTTAGCTGGGCATAGTAGCACATGTCTGCAATCCCAACACTTGGGAGGCTGAGGCAGGAGCACTGCTGTAAGTCCCAAGTCAGCATGGGCTACATAAAGTTCATTCACAATCACCTGAACTACATAGCAAGACCCTCTCTCAGAAAAGAAAAAAATTTAATGTAAAAAAATTTAAAACCAACAAAATAGGTCATGTACAGGTACAAATTCCCTATGATGAATCTGATCATTATGTATATCTAAAATGTACCAATAAACTTAATTTAAAAAATAAGTAAAAATAAGAACATTAATAACAACAAACAAAAATCTTAGATTCTTTAAACTGAGAATGTAAAGATCAGAAGACACAAAACGAAAGGCTTGTAGCTAAGTGAGTACTAACCATTTAATAAGAAGGCAGAACTCTCAATATAGGAAATTTTGGGCAACCCATTCCGGACCCCTTCTGTCTATCTCTTTCAGACAGAAGCTTTCTTTCCCTCAATAAATATGTTCTGCTCTTAATCTCCGTTGTTCCTAAAATTCACTCTCCTATTTCAGAGAATGCTTCTAATCTTACTGGCTGACAATAGTTTTGTCCCACCTCATGCCCACCTTGTGAATTCCCATGTTTCCTACCTTGGACCTCTGGACCTCTCTCAGCTCGTGCATTTGCTCTATAAAAATCCCTAGAAAAGTCAGGGTCCTTGGCAACCCATTCAAGAGCCCTTCTGTCTCTCTCTCAGACAGAAGTTTCCTTTCCCCACTAACTTGACCCAAGGTCCCTCAAGTGAGTATAAACCATTTAATAATTTCATATTGAAGCTGGGCGTGGTGGCGCTCACCTGTAATCCCAGCACTCGGGAGGCTGAGACAGGAGGATCGTTGCAAGTTCATGGCCAGCCTAGGCTACAAAGTGAGCTCAAGGCCAGCCTGAACTGCATAGTGAGACCCTGTCTCAAAAAAAAAAAAAAATTTTCATATATACATTGCTGGCACTATATCCTTCACCTTCTCTTCCTCCTATCACTAGTCACAAGCTTAAGATCTTCTCTCAACAATGCGAAGTCCTGGGCGAGCAACACGGCTGTTCTATGTCCATGAGCCACCTCAGACACCTTACCTCTGTGATCAATGTCATCCGTGTCACTGTCAGCATCTTCATCCTCTTCATCCAACGTCCCTCGAGTGAGGATCAAGTCAGAAGGGTCCAGCACAGGAGATGTGCTATCTGGAGGGAAAACATCAGTACATGGACCTCTTCAAAAAGTCGATTCCCAATCAGTAACCATAGTTACAAACTGGCAGGATAAGTGTTCGTGATGTATAGAAATGCAGGCCCTTGCTGCTGCTTTTTTTTTTTTCCCCCCTCCGGTACCGGGAACCGAACTCACGACCTTGCGCTTGCCAGGCAGGCGCTTTGCCACTGAGCTAAATCCCCAGCCCGCTGCTTCTAACTGTATTGCTAATGTCACTTAAGTCTATAGTAGATCAGTTCACAAAGTGCTAGCATAAGCCCAGTAGTGCAAGGAGCCCCATACTTCCCTCTTAAAAAGAATACAAGACACTCAGTTCAGGAGGAGCAGTGTTCTTTTCACTAGTTGACACTCTGGAGGACACTACCGTATGGTTTTTCCCACAGAGACTCAATTCATGTGAGCAGATCCAGCGAGCTGGTAGCTCAGAGTGGAAGAACAGAGCCCTAGGAGGCTTCCTGGAGGATTCCAAGTTCAGAGAAGGTCTGAAGAAAGTACAGGGTGAAATGAGAGAGAAGACAAGCCAAATGTTTTTCAACGAAGGGAGTTAGAAGGCCAGGTGTGGTGGCCTATAATCCCAGCACTTGGGCGGCTGAGGCAGGAAGATCGTTCCAAGTTCGAGACCAGCCTGGGCTACAAAGTGAGCTCAAAGTCAGCCTGAACTGCAAAGCGAGACCCTGTACACCAATAGGTGGTGGTGTATAGACAAAAAAAAAAAAACAAAAAACGGAGAACACAGAAACAAACCATACAACTAAAGCCGTCTGATTGTTGACAAAAGGGCCAAAAACATACACCAGAGAGGACACCCTCTTTAACAAAGAAACGGTGCAGAGAAACTGGACATCCATGTGCAGAAGACTGAAACTAGGATCTTATCTCTCACTCTGTACAAAAATTAACTCAAGCCAGGCGTGGTGGCTTACTCCTATAATCCTGGCCCTCAGCAGGAGGATTGCTGTGAGTTCAAGGCCAACCTGGGCTACATAGTAAGTTTAAGGCCAGCCTGAACTGCATAGCAAGATCTATCTCAAAAAAACAAAAACAAACAAAAAACTGAATTCAGTGGCTCAAAGGCCTACATATAAGAGTTAAAACTGTCAAAATGCAAGGAGAAACACTTGATGTCACAGATACAGGCAGACTTCCTGAATTGTCTCCAATAGCACAGAGAATAACCAATAACCAAAAGTCAATAAACGGGACTACAGCAAATTAAAAATTTTCTGCACAGCAAAGGAAACAACGCAGTGAAGAAAATCAACACAGCCTACAGAAAAAATCTTTGCTAATCTGTCCAATTAATATCTAGAATATATAAAGAACTCAAAAATTTAAGGCCCTTGGAAACAGCCCAAATGCCCACCAACCAATGAATGGATAAAGAAAAACTTTTCTATACAATGGAGCACTACTCTGCCAAAAGAAAAACTTGAGACATTTCTAAGAAAATGGATACACCTGAAGACCATACTCTTAAGTGAAATAAATCAGATATATATGTGTAAATACCGCATTATTTCTCTGGTGTGAGAAACAAAGTGTAAATAAGGAGCAAACTGTATAACAGGTATTGTGAAATAGGAAGAAAATGTTCAAACTGGAAGAGGAAGTGGGCAGGGAACAAAAAAAAAAATGAGAAAAGGAGGAAAAAGTGGAAACAAAGCTTTTGTAAATAAGGTGGAGAAGAGGGATTGAGGGCGGGGAGGAGTTGGGGAAAAGAAAAGGAAGATATATCATGCACAGTTGCCAATTCCTTATGATGAAAGTGGTCATTATGTACATCTAAAATGTACCAATTAATTTATTAATTTTAAAATTTTTTTTTTTTTTTTTTTGCCGGTACCAGGAATCGGAACTCAAAACCTTTGCACTTGCCAGGCAGGTGCTGTGCCACTGAGCTAAATCCCCAGTCATTTAAATTAATCCCCTAGTCATTTAAATTAAAAGAAATTTAAATGACTATACACATACTTCCCTTAGGGGTCAACCGAAGTGTTTGATATTCTAAACAGGCATCAATCTCCTTGGGTGGAAGACCAAAACCTCACTCCTTCCCGGAAAGTCCTGGTTCATTCTATGTATGCTTGCTATGTAAGCTGCTTCCCCATTTGATCCCCTCTTAATCAAAATCACCTAAGCAACTACACTCATAATCTTAGTGGTTGACCATAATTTTGTCCCACCTGGTGATTTTTCCACTGTATCAATATTACCTAAGTGACTATAGTTGGTAATCTTATTAGTTAACTATAGTTTTGTCCCCCCTTATACCTGCCTCACCTCATGGTTTTACCTTAAAACTCCCTTGAGAAGTGAGCCACTTGGGACCTCCTTCTGTCCCTCTTAGACAGACGCTTTAACTTTCAATAAATGCCAAGAAAAAAAAAAACTTAAGGGGAAAAAAATCAAATAGTCCCACCAATAAATTGGCAAATGACCTAAACAGATACTTCTCAAAAGGAGTACTCTAACCTCGGTGTAGTGCACATACCAGTAATCCCAACACTCCAGGTACAGGAGGATCATAGGTTCAAGCCCAGCCTGGACAAATTAGAGACTATGAGGCCCTGCCTCAAAATAAAAAAGGGTTGGGGATGCAGCTCAGTGCAAAAGCCCTGGGTTCAATCCTTAGTAAAAAGGAGGAGTGGGGAGGTGGGGATGTAGCTCAGCAGGACAGCACCTGCCTGGCAAGTGCAAGGTCCTGATTTCAATTCCTGGTACCAAAAAAAAAGGAAGAAAGAGAAGAGAAAGAAGAGGATGGAGATGAAGAAGAGGAGGAGGAGGAAGGAGAAGAAGAAAGAGAAAGCAAAGAAGGAAGAGGAAGAAAAGGGAGAAGTAGTGAAAGAAGAATAAGGAAAAAGAGGAAGGGAGGAGAAGGAAGAGGATAAACGGCCAATAAGTGCTCAGCGTTTATAGCCACTAGGGAAATACAACCCTACAAAGCCATCTAACCCAGTCAGAATGGCTATCATCAAAAACAGCAAAGAGGGCCGGGGATATAGCACAGCGGCACAGCACCTTGCTTGGCAAGCACAAGGTCTTGAGTTCGATTCCTGGTACTAAAAAAAAAAATACAGCCAACAACAGCTGGGCAAGGTGGCTCACTCCTAGAATCCCAGCATTCTCAGAGGCTGAGGCAGAAGAACCTCGAGTTCCAGGCCAGCCTGGACAACACAGTAAATTCAAGGCCAGCCTGGACTACATGGTAAGAATGTGCCTCAAAAAAGTAAGAAGTAAATAAATAAATACAAAAACCAATAAATGTTGACAAGGATGTGGGGAATCAAATCAGTACAGAGGTTTCTCAAAAACCTAAAACTAGAACTACCATAGGCCCAGCTATACCACTCTGGGATGTTCCCCGAAGAAATTAAGGCCAGCATACTATAGGGCTAATCTAAGTACGAATGACTTCCATTCTGGGAAAGCATTCATAAGTCAGATCACTCCTGTCTCACAATATGTGTCTTATACACCTCTGACAAAAATATACAGTGTAGAGTACAAAAAAACCAAATGCGAGGTCCATTTGTACCTGTGAACATTTACAACTCCAGTGTTCGTAAATCGGGGATTTACTGTACCTGGTCACCCACATTTACGGCGGCACAACTTACAAGAGCCAAGATATGGAACCAGCCTAGGTCGTAATCAACGAACAACTAGATAAAAAAAATGTGGTGTCTATGCACAAGGGAGTGCTATTTGCCCATAAAAAACAAAATTATGTCACTTGCAGAAAAATAAATGGAACTGGAGATCATCGTGTTAAGCAATATAAGCCAGACAGTAAGACAACCATGGTCTCCCTAGTAGGTGAAGTCTAGAAAAAAACAATGGCATGGAAAGAGAGGGACTATTACTAGGCAAGAGGAAGGAGAAACGGGAGGGGGAAGGGAGTGTTAGAGAAGATAATGGATGGATATGATAAAAATGTTACATGTATGAAGGAAAAAAATACATTGAAACCCAATGTTTTATAAAATGAATAGATACTAATAAGGAAAAAAAATTTTTTAAGTATATCCTCTCAAAAAAAAAGTACACGCCCCTTTTAGTTCCAACACCAGAAGCCTGCCCAATACCTTTGGCGGTGCCTGCGTCCAAGGCTACAGAGCCCATGTCTTTCCGAAGGCGCTCCAGCTGTTCCTTTTGCTGCCGACTCTGTGCACTGGCCTATATGCAGGGAAAAGGTTAATATGTCATATTAACAAAGGAGCCCCACTGGGGGGGTAGGTCTGTGGTCGAGTATGTGCCTAGCATGTGCAAAGCCCTGGGTTAAATCCTTAGCACTGAAAAATGAAATTACAAAGAACCAGACTAGATGCCAGGCTTCTAAGTGGAGAAGAAGAATCACATAAATATGGGAAGTTCATGAAGGATAGCTCATGGGAGCCAAAATACTAAGCAGTGTGGGCCCAGATCATAGCACAAGTTCACACCAGGGGACTCTCCTTGCTGAGTTAGAAGGTTCCGAAATTAGAAAAATATATCCCAAGAATCCTCAAGGACACCTAGCAAGAGGCTCAGTGTCAGAGGACCCAAAGCAGACTCTGAGTCTGAGGGCAGGACACTGACCATTTGGGACAAGACTTTTGAGCCACCTCTCTATTCCTAAAATACTACAACTAACCTTTAAACAAATCTTAGAGTAGCAGAAAAGGTGGGGCATAAGAAAGGCTTTGTATGCCAAGCGTGGTAGCACATGCCTGTAATCCCAGCACTTGGGAGGCTGAGGCAGGAGGATAGCTGAGAGTTCGAGGCCAGCCTGGGCTACAAAGTGAGCTCAAGGCCAGCCTGAACTGCATAACGAGACCCTGTCTCAAAAAAAAAAAAAAAAAAAAAAAGAAGAAGGGCTCTGCACAATAGGAAAAATCTGATTTCTGCTAATTCAAATGCAAGGAGGAAAAACAATTAAGGGACCACTCTTCATAAAGAACATGCAGACAAATTTCCAAATTTAAATTAACAAGTACTTGAAGCCATATATAGTGGCATGGGTCTATCCTCCCAACCAGGAGCGCTGAAGTGGGAGGATCAGTCGAATCCAGGAGTTCAAGACCAGACTGGAAACACAGCAAGAACCCATCTCAGAACACACACACACACACACACACACAGGGTATTTAAAAGACACTGAAATTTAACTAGTTATATCTCAGTAAGTGTATGAAAATAAAAAACAATTAAGTTAAATAAAGTATACAGCCAGGCATAGTGGCCCATGCCTGTAATCCCAGCACTCGGGAGGCTGAGGCAGGAGGATCGTTACGAGTTCAAGACCAGCCTGGGCTACAAAGTGAGCTCAAGGCCAGCCTGAACTACATAGCAAGACCCTGTCTCAAAAAGACAAAAATAAATAAAAAAATAAAATAAAGTATATAGATATCCAAAACATAAGCATTTTTTTTTTTTTTTTTTTTTTTTTTCAAAACATAAGCATTTGTCAGACGGCTTGAAGTGCTGGTTTTGTTTGCTTTTTTGTTTTATTTTTGGCTTTTTTGAGACAGGGTCTATATAGTTCAGGCTGGCCTTGAACTCACTAGGCCTAGGATGGCCTTCAACTCCTGGTGATCCTTTGTGTTCACTTTAAAAGACAAATTGTTGCCGGGTGTGGTGGTGCACACCTGTAATCCCAGCACTCGGGAGGCTAACGCAGGAGGACTGTTTGAGTTCAAGGACAGCTTGGGCTACAAAATGATTTAAAGGCCAGCCTGAACTGCACAGTGAAACCTTGTCTCAAAATAAGACCAACCTGGGCTAGCATGATCCTTCCCACAATCCCCACTTCCCGAATGCTTGAGACTACAGGCCTGTGCCAAAGTACACAGATTTAGGTTTTTAAGGACCCTAAAACACAGTCTTCTTTCTTACCAGTGATTTCTTCAGGCGTTCATATTCAGGACGATACTCCCTGGAAAAACAAACACTCTTTAACTGTCTTTGCTTAGTAATCCAACCTGCCCACTCCCACCCCATCACTTCTATTTCTTTAAGACTGACAACAATAATAGATCTGACTTCACTGAATATCTGATGTAGAAAGTGTTGGTCACTGAGGGAGTTTATCCCTGTGGAGTTCAAAACCAAGGCACTCGCCCCACCCAGAAAATTCGGGAAGGAGACGAACTCCTGACTGGTGGGCTACACAGATCAGCACTGGAGACACGTGACTGGAGCAAGCGCTCAGTATTCACTTGAGGTGAACAGAAAAGGACAGGCCTGTGTTGCTCAGAAGTTCAATGTATGAAGAATTTGAGCAAAAACCACAAAAGGATGCAGACTGGAGTCTATTCTAAGGTTCTGCTAAAAGGAAAAAAACAAAAACAAAATACCTTGCTTGATGAACTAAATGAAACGCTGTGTCTGAAAACTACAATGTAGTTGTCAGGATCCAGCAAAACATGAAGCCAAAAGAGCATGCTCATGCATGGGCTGTCAGGCCTCCGCCCTGAGCAGGCCGGAGCTCTGCTCCTCTTTCTTCTAAGTGGAACTGCACTGTGAACTATGAAAATAGCTGGAACAACCATCCCCTGTGAAATATGCTTACTGCGCATCAGAAACTACAATAAGGACATTACAAATATTTCACTAAGAAACTCGATGAACCTAGGGCCAAATCCAGCTTACGTTTCTGCAAATAATGTCTTATGGGAATGCGGCCATGCCCTTCCCCTCCGAACTGGCTGCAAATGCTTTTGTCCTACAAGAGCAGAAGCCCACAGCTGCCCTCAAGCCTCAAACTGGCTCTCTACATAAAAAGTCTGGTGATTCCTGCTTCTTCATCCCTCAGCACAGCAAGGATTTGATACTTTGTTTTTTCTTTTGCAACCCAAGACCTTCACATTCAGCTACATCCCCGGCTTTTATTTTTTATTTTGAGATAGGGTCTCACTGAAGTCACTAAGTTGGCTAGGCTGGGTTTGAACTTATGGTCCTCCTGCCTCAGCCTCCCAGAATGCTGGGCTTACAAGCGTATGCCACCAAGCCTCTCTTGATACTTCTATGCTTTTGTTTTTCGGTTTTTTTTTCTTTTTGGTACGGGGAATCAAACTCATGACCTCAAGCTTGCCAGGCAGGCGCTTATGCTGCTAGACACTTCTATGCTTTAGAAATGTTAATGGAATGAATGGAATAGCTGGGCATGGTAGCACATACCTCTAATCCTAGTCCTTGGGAGGCTGAGGCATGATGGTGCATTCAAGACTAACCTAGACTACACAGCCAGACCCAGACTCAGGGAAAAAAAGAATGAAAAGTTAAGGAGATTTGCTACTCCTAAGTGTGGTCAGGTTCAGTACACATATACTCGGCATGTACACAACAGACACAGTAAAAACCTGAATGCTTTGCTAGCACATCAGCGCTGTGGTTGCTAAAGATGCCATGAATAGAAAGTTCCTTCCCCCTCACCTTTCATATTCTTCTGCAGCACTGGTCACCTGCACCATAAGCTCATCGAAGCCGGTGCCCAGAACAGCGGAGACGCCCACCACCTGCCAAACATCACCATAAATCCCACTGGGGAAACTAGTAAATATTTTTCCATGTTATGTATTATTTTGGTCAAATGTCATAAAATTGTCACAGAAGAAGCATACATAGTTTGGGAAAGCCCTGGCAAAAAGTAAAGCTAAAATAGAACAAACCAGCATACGTAGTCAAGAGTCATGAAAGTAAGTCTACAGAACACAAAGATATGAAAAAGCAAGCTATAATTGGGGCCAAACAAGTAGCAGGACTTATGATCTTCTCCCTTAAAAACTAAACCAGCTGGATGTGGTGGCTCACACCTGTAATCCCAGCACTTGGGAGGCTGAGACAAGAGGATCGCTGTGAGAACAAGGCCAGCCTGGGCTCCACAGAGAGTTCAAGGCCAGAAAGTATATAACAAGACCTTGTCTCAAAAAAAAAAAAAAGAAACTAAAAAAGAAACAAAAGTAACCCAAACCAAACCTTTTCTGTTCTCTCAATGTTCTACCTGGGCAGTCAGCCTACTCGTTGCATTCCACACTCATGCTTCCTTCCATAAACCCTGCCTGCACAGCAGCTACCCTAAACTAGATCATAAACACTAGAAAAGTAGGATCTGTGTGTTACTAGGGACTGAACCCAGGGGTGCTCTACTATTGAGCTATTGCCCCAACCCTTTCTTTTTATTTGAGACAAAGTCTTACTAAGTTGCCCATGTAGGATTTAAACTTGTGATCCTCTTGCCTCAGCCTCTCAAAGTGCTAGAATTAGAAGATAGCTAAGGTCAGGGCTCTTACTTATCTTCTGAATCTGTCATTTTTTGTGTCTTCTTTTTCTCTGCTGGGGGTCAAACCCATGCTGCACATTGGGCAAGGGCTTTACCACTGAGCTACAATTGGTTCCATGGGTGAGAAGGCTTCAAACGTCACTTTTCAGAAGATAATAAACTTCCTTCCTGAATGAGGTTCAGGTCAGTCCTGAGGGCTAAGAGGCTACCTGGAAAGACTCTCGGGGTGAGCAGACAAAGCTTACCCTCAGCGAGCTGTAAAACTCATCTAACACCAGGCTCATGGAACGCGTGAGGTTACTGACGTATGTAGTTTCTTGATTCAAGGCATCTTGGAAAGCCTCAAAATCCTGCATCCATTCCACTGCAAAGCTGTGGTCGATGATGTCTGTCTGCACCAGAGAAAAGGCAGCTATCAGCAACCAGAGATGAGGTTATGTATCAAACAATGCAAGACTTTTTTTAAATTAAGTGGTGACATCAAAGAGCTTATCATCCATGTCTGCATTTTCTTTCTCTGCCTCTTCCATCCTCCTCCACTTCAACAAATTAAAAAATTGGGTTTTACTGTTGTTCTCTTTTATGGCCACTTCCCATACATTATCAGTCCTTTCTCTGCTCACACAGCCCTGACGCAGGGATAATCAATGCACTGTGCTCGAGGGGCTACTCTATCTGTCCTAAAACACCCGGCATGAAGGTCAGTGCTAAATGACCATTCCACTGAACCAACTCTATTTCCTGGAAGTGCCCATGACTTTGCCGCATGCAACCTGAACTAGCTCTCCAGCACGTGATAGATTCCTTCCCACCCAGCCAAGCCTTCTTGTAATCAAAGGTTCTGCTGAAAAAGATTATGCTGAAGTGACAAGAAGAATCCACTTACTTTGTTCATGGCTACAATGAAAGGCAGCTTGGTTTTGTACAGGATGCTGAAAATCAAACACAGAGACTGTATTAGTGCAAGCAGTAAACCTTTGCTTGCCTGGGGTCAGTCTGCTGGGACCAAGTAGAGAGAAGGGCAACAGACTCAGACTCACAGTTATGCATTTTTACATGGCATTCACAGTCTGCTGTTCCTAAGAGGAAAAGGACTGAAAATGTCAAGCCGACAGCAACAACAAAAAACTGTCACACACTCACTCATTCTCACGTCAGCTAAGAGTGCTCTGATACTGACTTGTGTGTGGATGTGTGCATGCGCGTGCGCTGCTTTGTTTGGGGGTTTTTGGCGTTTTGGAGACACGGTCTCATTAGTTAGTTCAAGCTGGCCTTGAACTCACCATGTTGCCCAGGCTGGCTTTAAACTCACAGCAGTCCTCCTGCCCCAGCCTACCAAGTGCTGGGATTATGGGCATGTGCCAGGACTAGCCCTAGTTTTTATACTTTACAAAATAGCTGTCCATTTTCCAGGGGCAGAAATGAACATCTATTGAATACCTATTGTTCCAGGTAAGCACTTTTATATCTATTACAAGTGTAGGGGCACGCCTGTAATCCTGGCACTCTGGAGGGTGAAGCAGCAGGGTTGCTGCGAGTTCAAGGCCAGCCTGAACTACACAGTAAGACCCTGTCTCAAAAACAAAAAGAAAAATTGCAATGTAAATATATCCAACTTTCACTTGTCAATTACACCTCAAGAAAGCTGGGGAACAAAATTATTTTATAATCTGTACATGGTCTCACACCGCTATCATCACAGTACTCTGGGAGGCTGAGGCCAGAGGATTACAAGTTTGAGCCCGACCTGATCAACTTAGTGAGACCTTGTCTCAAAGTTAAAGAAAAATGGGTAGGGGCTGGGAATGTAGCCCAGTGTGAAGGCCCTATTCAATCTCCAGTACAGGAAAGAAAAAGTTATTTTACAGACTGAAACTTTTTAAATTTCTCCTAGGTTTATTGAGATATAATTGACAAAAAATGGATCTATTTAAGATGTACAATGCAATTATTTACAAGCAGATCTTCCCCTTTTTTTTCTTTTCTTTCTTCACTCATGCATTCACTGGGGTGCTAGGGATTAATCCCAGAGCTTGTCCATGCTAATCCTGTGCTCAACAGTTGAATTACTCTCCGAGCCCCCCAGGATGTTTTGTGGAATGATTACCACAATCAACCTAATCAAATAAGTGTCTTCTAAACAACACATAGTAATTAGATCAATCATGAGATTTCCATTTGGATCAGGCTTTCCTGTATCCAATGAGAAGGGACAACATTCCTATTGATATCACAAGACAAATGTTGGTGGTGGCTTTTGTGTATCCTCAAAATTAAGTTCTCTGAGCTTTCACAATGGACTGCCTTTCCTGCGGTTTTGGGTTTTTTTTTTTCAGTAGTGGAGTTGGGGGGCTGGGGATTTAGCTCAGCGGCAAAAGCGCCTGCCTGGCAAGTGCAAGGTCGTGAGTTCGGTTCCCGGTACCGGAGAAAAACCAAAAAACCAAAAAAAAAAAAAAAAATCAGTAGTGGAGTTGAAGTCAGGGACACTCTATTACTGAGCTACATCCAGCCCTTTTTATTTTTTACTTTAAGACAGAGTCTAGCTAAGATGCTGTGTAGCCCTAGCTGGGTTCAAACTTGCAACCCTGTTGCCTCAGCCTCCCAAGTGCTAGGATCATAGGTGTTTGCCACCACATCTGGCTCTAGACCACCTATCTGTATGAGAAGCCAAGGAAGGAAGATCAGAAGGTAAAGAATGAGAATGCTAACAGCACATGCATCTCTGCTCGTCTGACTTCTCCAACGCATAGCCACTCAACTGACTGGCAACTTGGAACGAGCACAAATCCAAAGGTACACAGGATTCACAAACAAAAAGGAGAGAAGAGGAAGCCCCATTCCTTGATGGAATACTGTGGCCACCAATAATCAGTTACCTGCAGGCGTACAGCATATTGGACATGAAGGTCACTGGGTTAGTACTTCGCGATGTGTCCATCACGTAGATAACTACTGTTGGAAATGAGGATGCCTAAAGCCACAAAAAAATTGAAGGCTTGGTCAGAGAGCTCATGCCCTGGCCCCATACTCCTTCTCTACCTCCCTGAACAGGGAAGACCATTTCAGACAGGGAGTTCAGGCCTCTACAGCTCCCTCCGACAGACAGTTCCAGGCAACTGAACAGATACTAAGCAGGTCTAGCCCTCAGCTACTCTCAGGAATGAATCTGGAGCACTCACCAGGGCCTCGGTGATGATTGTCCCAGAAGCTGACCAGGTGAACACTTCAATCTGTCCAGGTGTGTCAATCAAGACGTATCTGTGTGCAGAGAGACCATTAAAGAAGTGTTAGAGTTGTGGATTACTTAGAAGTATTTCATCACGCAGAACGGTAAATATGCCAGCCACAGTGAGGCACACCTATGATTTCAGGGACTCTAGAGGCTGAGACAGGAGCATCACAAGTTGAAGGCCAGACTACACAATTTAAAATAAAACACAAAGGGCTAGGGATGTAGTTCAGTGGTAGAGTGCTTGCCTAGTATGGCCCTTGGTTCTATCTCCAGTACCATTAAATAAAAAAAGCAAAACATCCACTCAATATCTGCACTGACGGTGGACTTCCCGCCATGCCCTTAAACTGCATACCACATTCCCAGACATTGTTCCCTGACAATATCCACGCTAAGGACCAAGAGTAGCAACTATGAACTACTGAAAATGCTACTGGGAAAGTGTGACAGTACAGAAGCACAATGCATTAAATTTGAGAGATATACAAACCAGAAGGTAAAATCCTGGGACAACATCTGGCTGCTTAGGGGAGAGGGAATACAGAGGGAGAGCTGGAGGGGCACGGGACTGCCAGGGCATCTTCCTGAAGTGATGCCAGGTCATCTTCCTAAACTTCCTGAAGTTCTAAAATTGACATCCAGGTACAGTGGTGCACACCTGTAGTCCCAGGCCTTGGGAGGCTGAGGCAGGAGATCACCTAAGTTCAAGGCCAGCCTGGGCAATGTAGTAAGTTTAAGGCCAGCCTGAACTACACAGTGAGGCCTTGTCTCAAAAAGTCAAAAACAAAACAAATAAATAAATAGAACAGATTGTGGCAATAGTTGCACAATTCTGAGAATGTACTAAAAGCCACTGAACTGTACATTTTAAACAGGGGAATTAGATAGTACATAAATTGTACTTCAGTAAATTCTTTTTTTTTTTAACATGGGCAACAACAGCCTAGGGTTGTAGACCAGTGGAAGAGTGTGTGCTTGGTGCATACAAGCCTCTGAGTTTGATCCCAGCACCACACAAATAAATAAACCAACAAATAAATAAACAAACAAACAAACCAGCAGCTGGCCAGGTCTGGATGACTTAGTAAGACCCTGTCTCAAAACGAAAATTTTAAAAAAAGGGCTGGGGATGTAGCTCAGTGAGAAAACTCCAGGTTCAATCCCCAACACAACAATAAAAGAACATTAACAAGTGCAGTAGACTGTGGCGGATGTGGCTGGGGCTACATCATACTGCTGGTGGAAATGAAAATGGGGCAGATGCTAGCGGGTGGGGGAAAGGGAAAGCAAGGAATGACTGCTCATGTATGGGGCTTGGGGGAACAATGAGAATGGCCTAACATGAGACAGTGGTGATGACTGCACAAGCTAGTGAATGTACAAAAGTATTACATTACACATTTTAAAAGACTAAGTGAATTTTATTGCAGTGAAGCTGCTATTTCCTTCAAAAACAACTACCTCTAGTATAATGCCATGACTGTAAGAACACTATTACACATCCTCCTCCAATCTTTGTGCATATACAGAAACACAGAACGCCAGTCATGGAAAAATGAGATACCATTGCTAGCAGAAATGAGAGTGACCACTTTGTCTTTTAAGTATTGCATATGGTTTTAGTTCTTTACAGTGAACATATATGCTTTTTTAAAAATTGCCTTTTTTCTTAGAAAAAAACTGATTAAAAACTTAGTAATAGTTACAGATGGATAGTAATACTTTACATTTTGCTACTTTTCAAGTTGAAAAACCATTTTCTCTAAATCATATAAATTACATTCAGCTAAACAAGGGTTATAAGGATATTCAAGAGGATTTAATGCCAACAAACACAGTTTCCCAAAAGAAGGCTGGTAGATACATGAATAGGGACATCTCAAAATACCTCCAGAACTGCAAGTGGTGGCACATGCCTGTAATCCCAGCACACAGGAGGCTGAGTCAGGAGGATCACTGCAAGTTTGAGGCAATCCTGGACTACATAGTAAGTTCAAGACTAGCCTGAACTATACAGTGAGACCTTGTCTCAAAAAACAAAATACCTCCAAAGAAATGTAAATTGCCAAAGTAATTAGGGGTGGGAAATACTACATTCAGTTCTGTACTCTATAGCATCTTAATAATTTAGTCATTCACTTTTTCTTATTTCTACAGGCTCCACCTCAATCAGCATCTACAAGATGCCTACTTCTTTTCTATATTTCTCCTCATGTTTGCTGCTCTTATTTACAAATATGATGAGGACAAGGCATCAAGAGTCAGGCTTCTACACAGCCACATCGGTACACAAAAGGACAGATGTACCTGATCAAACCTGGTAGCAGAGAGTGAGTGAGGTCACTGTGCAACCATTGGGCCCAAGTCCATGTCTAGACACTCAGTTGAGGATGTACACTTGATAGACTGGATGGTAAAGTTCACCCCTACGTATCAGTCACCCAATAGTCTTATACCCTTTCTGGTCGTGATGGAACCTGAAAACCTATCAAAGGCCTGGAAATGTGCAGAATAATAAACAGGTGTTCAACTGATGTGACTTACTTGGAAGTGTTCTGGGCTTTCTCAATAAATTTCATCACCTAAAAGAAAAAGATGCCAGTTACAACAGGATCTAAGGTCACCAAAAGATCACGGGGTCCTCAGCAGGTTGGCCTGCCTTCGAGGCACTATCATCTGCTGACTCTCCATGTTCACAAACTAAGGACAAAGACTAAAAACCTCACTGAGCTTTGAGCCAGAGGCACAGCAGCCACTTCAGTAGCCCTGCAACTTCCTGGGCAACAGTGCAAGGACCAAGGAGCTCGAAACTTAACTTGTCACTGTGAAGTCAAACCTTTTGGCACTCTCATGAAATTTTTCTTTTCTTTCTTTCTAAAGACTCAAATGATTCCCCTTCTTTGGCCCCCTGGATAGCAGGGACTAGCAACGCATTGCTATCATGCACAGCTTTGGTCAATAGAAACAGTAATGGAGTGGCATCACAGGAAAAAAAATGTAAAATCAAGCGACAGAGAAAACCTAGAGGATGACAAATACAGAAGGAAAAGGAGATCTTTCTACGCCTGCTAAGCCACCCCAAGCCTGTCTCCCTGCCACAAACTCCAGGTAAAACCACAGCCCCATATGAGAAAAAAGAACCCAGAGCTCTTGTATTTTTGGTTTCGTTGCAGTCACAAATAGTAAGCAGGGCCGGGGATGCAGCTCAGCAGCCCAAGTACCTGCCTGGCAAGTGTAAGGTCCTGGGTTTGATTCCCAGTACCAAAAAAAAAAAAAAAAAAAAAAAAAAACTAAGCAAAGTATCTCACAACACAGTCTCCATCTCAGCCTACCAAGACGCCTACTTCTTTTCTATATTTCTCCTCATGTCTGCTGCTCTTATTTACAAGTGATGAGGACAAGGCATAGAGTCAGGCTTCTACACAGCCACATCAATACACAGAAGGACACATGTACCTGATCAAACCTGGTAGCAAAGAGATTCAGTGAGGTCACTATGCCACCATTGGGCCCAAGTCCATATCTAGACACTCAGTTGAGGATGTACACTTGATAGACTGGATGGTAAAGTTCACCCCTACGTATCAGTCACCCAACAGTATTATACTAGTGTTCCACTGATAGACATAGGCACAACCCAATCCTTGACAATCACAAAACCTTAGCCTCAAAGAAATTCGTTAACTGTCAAGGTCTTGCTTATTCAGTTTTCATTTTAGGCATGGCTAGCCAAGATGAAAAAAGCAAAGTGACCAAAACATACTTTACAAATGTATTCGGCAGTGACACCCGACTGGCTTTCCTCATTACAATCAGCTTTGTAACACTCCTTGCTCTCATCATTACCAATCAAGCAACCTGCAGGTTAGAATTAAGGATGAGATCTGCCTCCATGGGGAGTATACACGTCACACAGGGTGCACTAATTAACCTCACTACACGTACTCATTCTGAGTCTCCCTGTCTGAAGAGGCAGTAAGCACAGAATGTATCAGTTCTCCAAGGAAACACCACACTGTGCGACCCAGGCAGCGGTAGCCTCTCTCTTCCCAATGAACTGGTGACAACAGCCTGAGGTGGAGGGACACAGTAAAAAAACAGAGATCACAAACTGACATGGTATTTCTGATCACTGTAATACCTCCCCTCCATTCATCTAACATTCTCCTAAGAAATTTACTGCAATCAATCCTTTTGCTTATCTATTTCAACAAGGTAGGCAAAAATTCTCAAAGCCATAAAATACAGACAGCAACTAGCAAGGAACAACTCAACACCTTAGTAGACCCTGAAAAGGATACTGTTTCATGACTTCTTTATACTTCACAGTGTCACGAATATCTGAAAAAAAGAGAAAGAATTAACTACAGACAACACATGAGGAAAAAAATTGTTTCAAACCCTCTAACTTTAGTGTCCTAAGCCAACAAGCCTTGACAGCAAGAGCAGGACAGTTTCCACTCTTGGTATCACAACTCCTTTCATATTGGTTTTCTTTCTTTCTCTTTTTCCTTTTGAGACAGAGTCTTGCTGTGTAGTCCAGGCTGGCCTTGAACATGTGGTGGTGATCCTCTTGCCTCAGCCTCCCGACTGCTGGGATTGCAGGCATGCACCACCACACCTGGCTTCATGTAGGTTGTTTTTAAAAAAATTTAAGTAAAGTTAACTGAATTGTGATAGAAGAACAAGGAAGACCATGAGGAGAAAGACTAGAAGGGCAACAGGTGTCCTATAACCACTTTCCCTGCCAGCAAAAAACTAGCCCGAGTCTATTAGGCTTCTCTTGCCAGAATACTCTTCTATTAACTTCGTTTTTCCACTGGTTTCCTCCCATATACAAGATAACAGCCACGAAACTCATGAAACATGTTAGGCTAGGAATACTCAGGTTATGATACAGACAGTCTGAAACAAGGTGAAAGGTGCTGTGCACCCTAAATATCAGTGCCGTAGGCACAGAAAGGCAAGAAAAATCAAGAACAGAAGACCTATTTCTTATCAATTTCATCGCTGTGATAAACCCACCACAGACAGGCTTCTTAAAAATCTGAGTCAGGCATGGTGGTACATGTCTGTAATCCCAGTACTCTGATAGTCTGAGGCAGGAGGATCACAAGTTTGCGCCCAGCCTGGGCAACTTAGCAAGGCCTTGTCTCAAAATAAAATATTTTTTTAAAAAAGGCTTGGAACACTGGGCGTGGTGGCGCATGCATGTAATCCCAGCACTCAGGAGGCTGAGGCACGAGGATCATTTCGAGTTCGAGACCAGCCTAGGCTACAAAGCAAGCTCAGGGCCAGCCTGAACTGCATAGTGAGACCCTGTCTCACAAAGACAAAAAAAGGCGAGGTGGGGCGTGAGAGATGTAGCTCAGTATGAAGGTCCTGGGTTCAATCCCTGGTATAAAAAAAAAAATCTGTCCAATAGTATCTACCTAAACATATCCACCAGTCTGTAAGGTTTCCCTCATCAACTATTACAATTCCATCCTTTAAGTGAAAACATGGGAAATATTTTCTCAAACTCTTCTCAAAATGTCTGCTTAATGATTTTTTCCTTTTATTGTCAGTGTGGTGGCACATACCTGTAATCCCAGCACTAGGGAGGCTGAGGCAGGAGGACTGCCATGAGTTAGAGACCAGCCTGGGATACACAGAGAGTTCAAGGCCAGCTTGGACTACATAGTGAGACCCTGCCTCCCCCAAAAAAATCTTCCTTGTATTACTATGTCAGAGGCACAAGAAGCTTAACAGAATCAAAAAGTAGTGACAGGGCTGGGGATTCAGCTCAGCAGTGAAGCGCCTGCACAGCAAGGGTGAGGTCCTGAGTTTGACTCCCGGTACAAAAAAAAAGTAATGAGAAAGGAAAGGATTAGCACACAGTGATGGCCTGGAAACCAGGAAGCCTTGATCCTATCAAGAATCCAGCCTAATCCCAGCACTAGGGAGGCTGAGGCAGGAGGACTGCACAAATTCAAGGCCAGCCTCAACTACACAGCAAGACCCTGTCTCAAAAAAAACAACAACAATGAAAGAATCTTGACACTGGAACACACCCATTTTTAATCATTTTTCGAGTCACAAACTCAAATCTGATTCATATTGGGAACCTCTCTGAAGAACAAGGCAAACGTCCACAGGCACACCCATTTTCCCACATAATTTTGAGAGGTAAGGGGGAACGGGAATAACACAAAGCAGTGTAGGAAGCGGAGGTAGTAAAGAGAGAAAATGAGAATAGGATGAAGGCTGTTTAGGCAATCCAGCAAATCCAAAGGATATCAAAGTAGGGCAATTTGTAAAAAAAAAGAAAAAAAAAAAAAGTAAATAACTGCAGGCACTGAAAATTGGCAAAGATACAGGCTTTCCACTCACTTCGGGGCACTCCTAAATTCTGGGGCACGCTACTCACCAATATTGGCAGGAAAGGGAACTTCATGTACAGCTGGGTCCAGGTTAATCACATAAGGCGGAGAGCTTTGGCTATGCAGGTGCCCCGTGAGCCTCTGCAAAAATATGGGGCGTTGCAGAGGTAAAAAGGAATTGTCAAGGGGTCTGAGAGAACTCCTATTTCGTCATGACTTAAGATTTTGGCACTACTGCCTTCTACTTAACATATCCACCCACTCTGTCTACACTTAACTCGGTTTAAATGTTCCCTGTGTTCACCATCCTTTGACAGAGCCTCCCCGACTCTAGATCATTTATCTAACTAACTTTCTATGTATTTCTTCCTACTTCCGTCACTAAAATGTCAACTCCAGGACGACGGGAAACTTGTCCACATCACTTGCGCCGGCTCTCCAGGGCTTACAGCATGATAGGCACGCAAAAAATAATTCTTTGACAACTCTTCCCCGAAAACCCATGTCACCTTGTCCCATCTCTAGAATTACTCACAAGCCCCAGGCTTCGGACAGAGGGCAATTTTATCAGCGAAAAAACTCAGTACAACGTAAACTGTTCAAAGCACGCAGGGAGGAGGCGCAGCGCACAGCCTTTACTGACCCTTGTAGGGTCCGAGGCTTCGCACACCGAGGAAGTGAGTTGAGAAGCCCCCAAAAGCTAGAAGCCTGGACGCTGCAAGTCTCCAAACACCCACCTACCCTTGCTCCCTGGCCTTTCGCCCGCCGAAGGCAACCTCTCAGGCACCCTACTACGCCCGCGCTGTTCACGTTACCTGTACAAAGGTGGTTTTCCCGGACCCCGCCATTCCCAAAACCAACAGACACACGGACGGCCGAGAAGCTCCCGATTCCGGGAGCTCAGCCACGCTCCCTTGAGCCGCCATGTTTCCACCAGTCCCGCCCACACCACCATAGAGACGTCTTCCGGCTAGAGAGACTTCCGCTCCTTTCCCGGCCTAGGAGGTGCCGGCGCTTCCAGCGGCCGGAAGCCAGGCTTACACCACGGTGGGGACGCCAGGTGGCGCTGTTCTAAGGGTCTGACCCGACTGTGGCCGGGTCGTGCGGTGGTTGGGAAGCTGGGGACTGGTAAAGCGAGAGGAGGAGTAGAGGTACCGGCAGGAGGACGCTCACCCGCCGGGGCTAGGACCTGCGAGGGACAACGCCCTGGGTGTCAGTGGGGCGAGACGGGATCCCCAGCGCGGCGACCCGGCGGATCCCTGACACCGCGCAGGCGAGCTCGCATCCTCCCCAGAGTTGGGGGGAGCCGCGGGGGCGGGCCGCTGGGGCTCCTTTGACGCCTGGTAACCCGCAGCTGCTGCTGACGGGTCCTAAGAACCCCATGCGTTTTAAAAAGTGCTGTGTTTTCTTAATGTGTCAACATTGCTTACTCAGCGTTTCTGCAGCCTCCCGCCACCAGGAGTACCTTAGCGCGCACGAGGTTCTACAGGGAGGAATATATGGTAGTAAATACGATACCACTTTTTTTCCTGTGTCAAAGCCCCGACTTTTTATAGAGCTTTTACTTTTTTAAGTCTGGCCACGTAAATATCCGTTCAGTGCGGGCAACAGATGGAACAAGAAGACCCATTTTTCGTGCTACTATGAGTCTGGCACAATTGCCGTTTTTAGTACGTTCCTTCTATTTGATATCGTCGAAACTAGAAAAGAGAGTCGAGTACGTTAGCTGCTGCCTCCGATTTATTTCATGAATTCGTGAGCTGGTCAAAGTCACGTTATTCTCCTTGAGGTCACCCCGCCATTAGATGAGATGCTAGTACCCTTTCCAGGAAGATGCGGTTTTAGAATGTTTATGCCTAACAAGCCAGTGAAATACAGCATAAAGGTGCAGATTTCAGCTGACGCTAAGGCTCATTATATGCTAAAGTCAGAAATATACGCTGGTGCTGAAGTAAACACACCTAATCCACACAAACCCACCTTATCAAATGCCACAAGAGTTGTTCTAAGGCTTGTGGAATATATTGAAAGAACTAAAAGAAATATTACCGGTGACAACTGGTATGGTTCAGTGGAACTTGAACTTAAAAAGAAAAACCTGACTTTGTAGGCACTTTTTAAAAAAAACAAAAGAAACCCCAAATATCTGTATACACACAAGATAGTTAAGATAATTGTACTACTAATTTCTATTGGTTTGTTGAAAGGAACAGTTAATGCTTAATTTTTTATCAATTTTGCATGCCTATATCTGGTCATCTGAACAACTACTTTGAAGATAACAATATGCAATATAACAACCATTATTGATTTTCTGTCATCTTATTTTGAAATTCTGTATCGTTTTTAATGTTATTTATTCTCTTTAAAATAAAAAAAAAATAAGAGGGCTATAGCACCTCGATTTTTACCAAATAGAAAATAAACTGTTCATTAAATGCCAGTATCTTGTACTCTGAGTAACTAATTTAAAGATAAGCTCTGCACAGTGGCAATATCGTAGCCAATGAGGTTTATCAGTGTGATTATTTCTAATTGAAACTTAAGGATAAAAATATGCAATGTATTAGCCATTGTTACCTTCCTACTATCTTGTTTTGAAATTTTAGGGTTTTCCCTTTAAAATAAAATTTAGGGCTGGGGATATAGCTCAGCAGCACAAGCGCCTGCCTTGCAAGCACAAGGTCCCAAGTTTGATTCCCGGTACCAAAAAAAAAAAATTAAATTAAATTTAAAAAAAGAAAAGCAACTGTTCAGTCATCAGTATGTATTTGGATTTTCTGCTACCCGCACATGTTTCCTATGTACCAAAAAAAAGTAAAAGTGTCATATTAATATCAAATATGAGCCAGGCTTGGTGGCGCACGCTTGTAATCCCAGCACTTGGGAGGCAGAAGCAGGAGGATTGCTGCAAGTTTGAGGCCAGCCTAGACTACACAGTGAGTTCAAGGTCAGCCTGAAGTACATAGTCTCAAAAAAAAAAAAAAATAAGTTCAAGGCCAGCCTGAACTATATAGTGAGATCCTCTCAAAAAAACCCAAAATAACAACAATAATAATGATGATGATGATAATATGAAATATGCACCATGGCAGTTCTGTTGACAGAAATACCAAAGAGCCTGAAATTATTCACTTTTATAATAAAACAAAATCTGGAGTTGATGCTGTAGATGGAAAATGTGCCGTTGGCCAACGGCAATTATTTATACCATTTCAAATGTCATGTTAATTCCCATGTATTGTACCAGTTTGCACAAGGAGGTGAAATAATAGAACATTTTGATTTTACTAACACCCTTGGGATGAGTTGAGGAAAATCTACATTCATAATGGCCACTAAAAAAGTGCCCTTAAAAGTACAAAGACTTGTAACAGAAATTCTGGGAACAGAGATTCCTGTTATAGATAGAGCCCAGAGGACCTAGTGACAAAAGCAAAAGATGCACCTTATGCCCCAGCAGCGAGGACAGAAACTGCTATCTACGGTGATGCTTGTAAAATACCAATTTGTCATCAGTGCCGAGAGAAACTACCATTTTGAAAATGACTTCTTTTTAGCTCACCGGCAAAGCGCCTGCCTGGCAAGCGCAAGATCGTGAGTTCGGTTCCCGGTACAGGAGAAAAACCAAAAAAAAAAAAAAAGAAAATGACTTTTTTGTTACAAATACTTATATGTTTACAAAGAAAAAAACTGTATTTTTTACCTTTATAAAAAATAAATGTATGGGTCCTGAGGACGCCTGTGTAGTACGCATGAAGCTAGTGAGTCGGTAGCTGCGCGGTAAACAGCTGGGGGCTGCACGGAGCAGCCGCGGGGCGGAGTGCGGCCTCCGGAGCCCCTGCGCCCCGAGGAAGCGCGCGGACCACGGGGTGGCGCCCGGGCGGGAAGTCCCCGCGACCGCGCGCTGTGCCCGCGAGCGGCCGACCCCTGCCACCAGCGCGTGCTCCACGGTCGTCACCGTGTGTGACCTACAGAGTTCGGCTAGTGAGGGCCCCCATCCCGAGAGCCTGTGAGTCCTGAGGGCGCGCCCGACTCCCCCGAGGGGCTCTGGGAAACGCGGCGAAGGTGCTCGAGGAGCCCGGGAGTCTTCCTGCACCCGGCCGCCCAGCCTTTCCGCGGCCCTCGGGAGCCGCTGCAGCAGAATCCGGGAGTCATAAACACTGAGCTTCACACCCAGACGGCCACTTGTAAGCGTTTATGTGTGGTGAGGTCATTTGAAGGCTCTGGGCCGGCTTTCTCCTTTGGAAAACTGAGATCATATTACTCAGCGTTGCAGGAACTGCAGAGTGTACGTGGGAAGCCACGTTCCCCATCTTTACATCCAGCTCCTTCCCTGTGCCTGGCAGTTTCTGGAGTGCAACACGTGCTCGAAAAGACTTTTTGGATCAATTATGGTTGCGTGTGCATTTAAGAAATTATTTCCCAGCACAGCTGGTGCCACACCCCTGTAACCCACACTGTGGGAGGGAAAGCAGGATGACTGTGGATTGGAGCCCAGCCAATCCTAGGAGAATAAAATATACTGAAAAAAGGACTGGGCATGTAGCTTAGTTGGAAGGTCCTGCCTTCAATCCTCAGGACCACAGAAAATAAAGTATCTTCCTAAATTGTGCCTAAGAAGGAGAAAGGGACGCCTGATTTGTACTAACTTCAAGTTCGCTGAGACTTGCAGGTCTTCCCTCCCTAGTCTCTTATCTCCTTGTACTAAACATTATGTTCCCAAGCTGTTCTCCAGGGAGAAGAGTTAAAGAAAAGATGCTAACAGAGGAAGCTGAACAGTGAGACAAAGAAACTCAAATTAGGCACAAAGAAAAGTGTTTTGTCCAGGCTGAAAACCACAAAAAAAGAAAAAAAAAAGCCCAGGAAAAGGACATGTGATGAGCTACAGAGGGAGTGTTTCCAACAACATGTGGAGATGGAATCTGAAGTGGAGACCCCGCAGAGGCAAACCAAACCTCACTCCTAAAACAGATCCTGCAGGGGAAAAAGAGCCAGCCAGAATGAAGAAGCCGTTGTAGGTGCTTTTCATCCCTAAGGAGAATCAGGATGTGATACAGACAGTACAGGAGTAAGATAATCCCAGCAGAGACAGCAAGGACTGGGAAATACCTCCAGGTTTGACAGCAAGGATTTCTGAAGCAATGATTCAACGAGTTAGAAGGGAACCAGCTGGGACAGGGAAAAAGAAGTGCACTCAAGAGGAAGACCTTGGCCTTGGAGCCCACACTACCTCAGCTCAGTTCTGAGTTCTGCCTTTCTATCAGAGGAGAGATCCCTCAGTAGAGCCCCTAAAAAAAGGTGTTTTAGAAACTGGAGGCTCTCAAACTGTGTTAAAAACCAGAGTACTAGTTAAGCAGGTTTGCAAGCCAGGTTTGGTTGGTGCTGAAAAGAACAGAGTGGTCCAAAGAGCACACTGTGCCCTTCCCTAGAGCCCAAACCAGGAGCTGTGATACATGCAAATAATCCCAGTATTTTGGGAGGCTGAGGCAAGAGGATCTCACATTTGAGCCTAACCTGGGCAATTTAGCAAGACCCTGTCTCAAAATAAAACAGAGCCCAGGTATAGTGGTGCACACCTGTGATTTCAGAGCTCAGGAGGCTGAGGCAGGAGGATTACCATGAGTTTGAGGCCAGCCTGGGCTACATACTGAGTTCGAGGCCAGCATGAACTACAGGCCATGTCGAAAAAAACAAAATAAATTAAACAAATAAAAACAGACAAATAGCCGGGCGTGGTGGCGCACACCCGTAACCCCAGCATGTAGGAGGCTGAGGCAGGAGGATCGTCACAAGTTCAAGACCAGCCTGAGCTATAAAGTGAGCTCAAGTCCAGCCTGAACTGCGTAGCAAGACCCTGCCTCAGACAAAAAAAAAAAAAAAAAAGACAGACATATAAGTATTGGGGCTGGAGTTAGCTCATGGCAAAGGCCTTGTGCTCAAACCCCTGTATACCTGCCTCCCCAATTAAAAAAAAAATTCAAATTCCTAAATTAAGAAAACTGATGCAGATACTTTTTTTTCTGAAACAGGGTCTTGCTGTGTAGTTCAGGCTGGCCTCGAACTCATGGCAATCCTCCTGCCTCAGCTTCCTGAGTGCTGGGATTACAGGTGTGCACCACAACGCCTGGCTAGTGCAAATACTTTTAAGCACTGAATAAAATTAGGAAGATTTTTGGATTTAAGGGTACTAGGGTAAAATATCCACCATGGAAAATTATTTTGAATTTTTCTTAATTTCTAGAAAACCAAAAAGTTGATTTTCCCCAGAGGACTGATGTTAAAACATGGGATGCTACTCCCACTGTAGGACTCATAATTAATAAACCATTGTACCAGCCTCAGTGTCACAAATGCTAAAAATGAAACTATCCTTAAAGTCTCTACTAACTTGAAATGGCATTTTAAAAGCTTAAAAATATTTGGACTTTTTTTTTTGTCTTCTTCAGACAGGGTCTCTCACTATGCAGTTCAGGCTGGCCTTGAGCTCACTTTGGAGCCCAGGCTGGTCTCAAACTCGCAATGATCCCCCTGCCTCAACCTTCTGAGTGCTGGGATTACAGGCATGCGCCACCAGGCCCAGCTGGACTTTTTTTTATTTTAAAGTCTTGTGCCATTCCTTTTCTTTTTTGATACCAGGAGTCAAACTCAGGACCTTGCACTTGCCAGAGAGGCACTTGTGCTGCTGAGCTATAACCCTGGCGTGCCATGCATTTCTTTAGCAGCACTTATAACTAATTCTAAAATGGCAATAAAAATTATTTATAGTAAACATTTCATTTTAGGTCATTTAGTTTTTCTTATGCATGCACTTTGTAATATACAAAATTCCTTTAGTAACTGGTATCCTTCACGTATTTATGCACATATAATACAAAAAGGAATCACTTTTCTTTCATGAGACAGGTCTTGCTATGTAGTTTAGGCTGGCCTTGACCTCACTCTGTAGCCCAGACTAGCCTGGAATTTGCAGCCATTATCTTGCCTGAGCTTCCCAAGTGCTGGGATTGTAAGTGTAGGTCATCCTGCCCAGCCAGAAACCATTAGTGTACGCTTATTTAGTGGGGTTGTATATTTTGCATGCATGACAGGCTGAGGCTAGTCTGTGATTTATTAGAATATAAAAGCCAATATAGGAATATATTCCCATATTTAATTCAACAGAGAAACAGAATCAACTTTGTTTTCCAGAGATGATTAGGAATGAAAATTTCAGTTTCCTGAATTTTCAGTCTGATTCCTAGATAAAATGAATTTATAGTCAGGCATGGTGGCTCACGCCTGTAATCCTAACACAGGGGAGGCTGAGGCAGAAGGCCTGTGAGTTCAAGGCCAACCTTGGCTACAAAGTGAGCTCAAGGCCAGCCTGAACTGCATAGAAAAACCCTGTCTCAAAAAGACAAAAAAATTTCTTTAAAATTAGATTTAAAAAAAATAGTTCTTTCCTGCACCTTTCATTCTAGCTTTAACATTTTTGGTTAAATGTTAACTGATTGAAAACAATTTTTTGTTATTAAAAGTTAAAAACTTACATAGTTATAATTTATTTCATTATTATTCCAATATGCTGAATTTTCTGTTATCACTCTTCTATTTACCACTCTTGCATATCTTATACTAGTATTTAAAAAAATTAGTTTTAATGCAGAAATACGGCTCTAGATAATATGCAGTTCCCTTCACCTGAATATCCAACTTATGAGCTAAAAATAAAGACAGAAATTGGACAGCTCTGTCTCTGAGACTAACCTCATGTTCTAGTCCTTGTGGATGTAAACTTTTAGGAAGGTGGAAGGAGTGGGAAAGTGGTGAGGACTTAGGACTTCACCGCACACCCAGCCCCTGCTGTCCCAGATATCTAATTCAGGAGCGAGAAATTTACCTGGTCACAGTATCTTTGTATTTCTTCATCACAGAGCTTTCCCATGGCTGCTCCTCTAAGACAGGAAAGAGTGGATATCTAGTAAGGTACTCCAAAATCTTTATCTCCACATGAACAGTGAGTTGACCAACTAAAATGTCAATCTACATTTTGTCTGCTTTGCTATGAAGAAATTACAAAGGGACACGATGTTGCAGAAACTGAGTGAGATAACAACTATGCAAGACTGGAATGATAAAAGGAAGCCTGCAGTGGAAACAACTGGGTTAGAAAACATTCCAGGCAGAGGCAAGAGCCAATCCAAATACATCCATGTGGGACACAGGCCTGAAAACAGGAGTGAGTGGAGAACAGAAAGGTACCAGTGGCCAAAGCGTAGGTGGGGAATGATCAGAGGATACAGGTAGAGAGGAAGATGAAGCTGAGAAAGGACAGGCAGAGAAAAGGAAAAAAACATTCCTACAGAATGAGGGAAAAAATCGAAGATTAAGTTGAAACAGAAGTAAAATGTTTAGCGTTCCCTTTTTAAAAGGAGGTAGATAAAACACATTTTCAGTATGAACTGTTATTAAAAAGTATTTCAGATATAAAAAACATAAAAAGCTACAACCCATTATCCGTTTTCAAGAATAAGACTTTATAACACACACCTGTGATCTCAGCTACTTTGGAAACTGAGGCAGGAGGATGGCAAGTTTAAGGCCAACCTGAGCTTAGTGAGACCATCTTAACTATCTTACTTATTTTTATTCTTATTTTTTTGAGACAAGGTCTTTCTGTGTAGTTCAGACAGGCCTCAAACTTGTGACCCTCCTCCTGTCTCAGCCTCGCCGAGTGCTGGGATTACAGTTGTGCACCACCACCCGTACCTGAAAATAAATTGTAAAAAAGGGATGGGCTATAGCTCAGTGGTAGACACCTGGCATAGATGAGGCCCTGGGTTGAATCCCCAGTACCCATTAAAAAATTTAAAACATTACAAATTCAACTGAAGGCCCTCTGAATCCCAGATCTTAAACTTGCTGCTTACCATTTCTGTGCATTTCCACAGGGCAGTTTTTGCATGCTTCTAAACACAGTGATGACAAAACCATTAATTTTGGGAACCTGAGTATTCCACTGTGACTACATGACAATTTGCCCATTCTTCTAAATGGACACAAGTGTTAGAGTAGGCTAACAAAAAGACCCAGGGATGTGTATCATCTCAAATGGCTGACGCTTCTTTTTTGCTCATATAACAGACTCAAGAGACATGCTGCTGGCTGGCCAGTGGCTCTCCTTAGGGGTGATCCAGGGAGGCAACCATTTCTGTTTTGTGCTCTCCCATCCCCTAGGCACTCAACACCCTCTGCATCTGGCAGGCAGAAGAGAAAAGAAAGCAGAGTCACACTTTCTCTCTTCAGAGTGTGAGCCAGGAAGCAACAAGCATCACTACTCCTCCCTTCCAGGGAAGAGCAGTGAGCTAGCTACTCACCTTTACCACACGCAGGGCGGAAAGGGAACAAGTGGGACATGTAGTCTAGCCCATCAGCCTAGAACCTCAGAGGATGAGAATGTCATGGGCAGGTCATGGTCTTTGATGCACATTCCTAGTACCTCACTAATGAAAACTGTACTGCAATCATTATTTCGGTTCATCTCCTTGGTACAACTAGAGAGAGGAGTTCCTGTGCACATACCCAGGACTCAAGCTGAGTCTTAGGGTATATCTTCAACTTCACTAAATACTGCCATATTACTTTCAAAGAGGGTATATCCACTTATATTCCAAACCGTGCACTAAACTTTGTATGACTCAACCACTCAATAGCACCAAGTCAGTTTATGTTACTCTAAGTGAGTAGTATAATTAGGGTGAGCCGCAGGGAGCCGAGCTACTGCCAGGCCATGGGAAAGAAAAAGGAGGGCTGCGAGGGCCCTGGAGGAGACAGACAGGTTTCCTGTACCAATCCATGTTAGCCACAAATTGTTCGCTTCAACCAGATTTCAGGAGCCAAAGGACTCCTGAGATGGCTGAGTGTGGGGCTTATTTCAAACTCATCTCCATTTCCAGCCAGTCATACCAGGGAGTCAGGCAGCAGATCAGAATCAAAGAACTGGAAACAACATTCTAAGTGAGAGTCATTTATTTCTTTTGTCATCGCCAAACATACCCCAACTCCTACTCACCAGAAAGTTACACATTCTCTCCATTTCTCCTCCCTGACAACCTTCATCTGCTGAAATGTCTTTAAGGGCACAACTGCCAATGAAGATGTAGTGTGCATCCCACTTTCCTTTACTTCCTACCTGCTCTGGCAGTCTCTAATTCAGGTTTGAGTGTGGTCTTCACAAAAGCCCACATGTTAAAGCTATTCAGAGGAGCAGAGAGAATACAGGGTCAAAGGGTGGCCTTAGCTTTTCAGATTTGGAAAAAAGTAGTGTTTGCCCACAGCAAGGTTAATTTTTAAGTGACATATGCCACAAAATCAGTAAGAACGTTTAAGACCAATGTTTACGCAAAAAGAGAACTTATAAACACGACAAGGCTTCTCTAAACACTGCTCCAGAAAAAGCCACCCTCCCAGGGAAAGAGCCCATGAAGCATTACCAGGTAGGCAGGAGGACAGGTGAAGATGTTTTCTCTCCAGCTCCAGATATTCCCATCTGGTGTCAAAGTCTCAGACTATAAAGAGGACAGAACTCCATATATAAAAGAGGACAGAAGGACAATATTCTCAGAAAATTCAAAGAGACAGAGGTTAGGTAAAGGACCGGGGAGGACTTGGCAAGGTGTGGATAAACAAGTGAGGTAAAGTCCAGGGAGAAGGGAAGTGCACCTTGGATTCCAATCTTACTGGCACTGCCAGGTGTACCAAGGCGCTGTGTCAAAACACCAGGGGCACAGTGACACTCACAACCTTTAAAACGGAGGAAGCAAAAACAGGCTTTGGGAGGGCACTGATCACAGCAACATATGAGGCTCTGGGTCCCAGGAAAGATGAGCTGACTTCTATTACATCTTCTACTCTTTTCTTTCTAGTCATTTTACTATTTGGGACACATTACTCCTCAGACTGCTTTTCACGCCCGTGGATTTAGTTAATCACCACTACTTCATACAGAAAAAGCACCTCCCATGTAACCAAGGGAAGGAGGTTCTAGCTTTTTCATGCTGAGCCTTTGTTTTTCTTTCAATCCTAAAATCATACTGAGGGCAAACAGCTTCTGCAAAGTTTTCCTTCCCAAGGATTCGGGGTAACCCTATTAAGTAACCAACAACAGTTCTAGCCTCAAGGCTGCTTGTATTACAAATACAAAATGATAAACCGATGTCTCTTTTTAAAAAGTAGTTTGAAATTATTTTGTAAGTTACACAATGGAGTGGCTACTAAATCAATGGAGCTTCCAAGGACATTTGAACCTCAGGAAGGGAAGGACAAGTAAACACCATTCTTAGTCTTGTACAGGGCAAGAGGGGCCTACAGTTGGCCTTAGGAGGGATCTCTTTGGGCAAGAAAGAGAAAAACAGGAGGACTCCCATGAAGAATAGTAGAAAATCCTGCTACGAGGGGTCTGGGGAAGGAATGAGAGTGAATAAATAGGGAAGACAGTGACATTTACACAGGAGGAAGGAGCTGAGAAGTCACAGCCTTGCACGGACAGTTGCAAGCATCTTCACTCAGCCCCGTGACTCAGGCCTCCCCACACAGGTCCCCTGACAACAGCATCGCCTCCACTCTCCTAGGAGTGCTTTCACTGACTGCCTACTTCCTTCCTCGTTTATGGTTCGTCTTTGGGGGCTTTGTTTTCTGCACCTGGGCTGCAACAGGCTCCTGCTCTGATTCCTTACAGGAGGTCCACACGACCAGTTCCTCATTATTCCTCCTCTGATCCTTCCCTACTCTAAGGCTCAGCTGGGTCTCAGGAAGCTCAATGCCAGGCTGCTGCAGCCTCCTTAGTGACCTCCTGCTCCTGTGCTGCTGTCTGCGCTTTTCTTCTTCTTGCTGTCTCTGCTTTATCTTCATCAGCTTTTCAAAGCTTTTTGTTGTTGTTGGGTTTACCACGAACCAATCCTAGAGGCAAGACGGAAAAACATAATCCAGTTAGAAACACAGTGAAGACTTTAGGGGGTGTAAGAGCTCAGTTCTGCTTCTAGATACAAAGCATAGGCCAACTGTTAACCTCTTTGAAAAAGAAAGGGCAGGAAACACAAACTTCAGTTACAAAGTATTGTTGCAGAAGGAGAAATGGGAAAGGAAGGGGAAAAAATAGCAAATGAAAATAAAAGGAAAAGGAAAAACAAAGGAAAGGAAAAAGAAAAGAGTAAACAAACCAACAAACTTAAATCTAATCAAGTGATACCAACAATGTTCCAGATGTGACTATCAATTTGCAGGAAACACGATAGAGGAATATTAGCAATCAGCAGCATTCAGAATGTGGGTAATGAAAAAAACAAAACAAACAGGAAAGGGAAGCTTAGACCTGCTGGCTACAGTGAGCTCGCCACCTGCCACATGTGGTCAGTCCAGACTCATGCATACATTCGGTTTTTTGGGGGCTTTTTGTCTTTTTGAGATAGGGTCTCACTATGCAGTTCAGGCTGGCCTTGAGCTCACTTTGTAGCCCAGGCTGGTCTCCAACTTGCAACAATCCTCCTGCTTCAGCCTCCTGAGTGCTGGGATTACAGGCATGTGCCACCACGCCCAGCTGACTCAGGCATACTTTCAATGAAAAAACATACCAAACCTTAACTACCTGGTATGAAAAAAATATGAAAATCTCATCAATAATTTATTTATTAATTAACACAAAAATACTGTTTCAGATTTGCTGAGTTAAATAAATTTACTTATTTCACAGCACCTGCCTGGCAAGTACAAGGTCCTGTGTTTGATTTCCAGTACCACAATAAATAAATAAATAAATAAATGTGCTTGTTTTCACTATATTTTTTTAAAAATGTGGATATTAGAAGATTTTATATGACATACACAGTTCACATTCCATTCCTTTTGGAGAACAAGGCTCTAGATCAGTTGTGGCAAACCTTTGGCATGTGTGTTACTGTGTTTTTCTCTGAAGAGAAAAGATGCTGTTTCTTCTAAACTAAAACCTCAGTACTCATGTTTAATTGCACTGTTAGCACTTTGCCGTAAGTTTTGGGTTGCAGTTTGACACTCAGTCTCTAAAAAGTTCGCCATCACTGCTCTAGATTAAAACAGACAACTGCAAGCTGGGTAAACCCCAGTACTGGCCTGTAAACCCAGCACTCTGGGAAGCCAACGCAGGAAAAAGTAAAAATTAGAGACCCATTTGGGCAACCTGGTGGCTTAGTCAGACCTTGCCTTAAAATTTAAAAATAAAAATAGGGCTAGGGATATAGCTAGGGCACAAGAGCCTGCCTGGCAAGTGTAAAGTCCCGAGTTCAAATTCTGATACCTAAAAATTTTAAAATTAAAAAATAAAAATAAAAAAAGGCTAAGGGATGTAGCTAATGCAAAGACCCTGGTTTCAATCCCCAGTATTACAAAGAAAGGAAAAAAGACAATTGCAGTATATAAGCCTTTTTTTAGGACCTAATTTCAACAAACCAATTCATAAAACAGATTTAGAAGACTACAGTGGATCAGATGTGGTGCCACATGCCTATAATCCCACCACTCAGAAGGCTCAAGCAAGAGGCTCAAGCAAGAGTTCAAGGCCACCCTGGGCTGCATACTGAGTTCAAGGGCAGTTTGAACTAAAAAGTGAGACCCTGTCTCAAAAAACCATTG